CCCAATCAACCAACTAACCAAACTTAGTTGATAATTAGGATCACTTGAACTAGACACACCCAGGCTTAGTTGTTGTCAGCCCTGTTGAATCACTTAAATACAACCTTTGCAGCAATGTGAAGTAGGCTAAAAAGTCTCAAAATGCAGCAAATTATGTGGCAATAAAAAGAACTTTCAGAAGAGATGAGAAAAAATGTTATGGAGATGCATCAGCCTGGACTCCAATGAACCGCAGTGAGAGCCATGAGCTCCAAACAGAGAAAACTCGGAGCAGTGGTGATTCTTCCCAGAAGTAGTTGACCTACCAAAATACCTCTATTAGCACAGCAATGACTAATCCACAAAGTCACAAAAGAACCCAGACAAACAACTGAGGAACTGCAGGCCTTGCTCACCTCAGATAAGGCCACTGTTCATAATTCCGCTATTAGAAAAAGACTGGGCAAAACTTATGTCCACAGGAGCGTTCATAGCAACAACCACAAGAACATAAAGACTCGTCTCACATTTGCTAATAAAAAAAAAAGATGACCTTTTGATGACTTTTTGGAGCACTGGGGTCCTGTTACATGTGGCATAAAGCTAACACAGCATTCCGTAATAAGAACATCATACCAGCAGTGAAACATGGTGGTGGTAGTATAATGGTGTATGCTTTGCTACTTCAGGGCCTTGATAACTTGCTATATTTGATGGAACCCTGAATTCTTCTCTCCATCAGTAAATCAGACTGTGATCTGAAGCTCAATTACAAATGGGTTGTGCAGCAAGACAATACTTTGAAGCATAAGAGCAAGTCCACCTATCAGTGTCTCAAAAAAAACAAAATTAAGGTTTTGGAGTTGCTTAGGTAAAGTAACTCCAAGATAGCTGAATCAAGCAATTCTATAAAGAAGAGTGGCCAGAATTCCTTTACGGTGATGTGAAATACTGATTTCCAGTCATAGGAAGTGTTTGGCTGCAGTAGTTGCTACTAAAGGTGACACAACCAGTTATTAAGTTTAGGGGCCCAGTTACTTTTTCACATGAGTGATATTGGTGTTGTAAAACATTATTCCTTCAATGAGTAACATGCTCATTTAAAAACTGTATTTTGTGTTTTTCCATGTTCTCCTTGTCTCAAACCACTTAGTGGTTGAGAATCTCAGACTATTTATTGTGTCAAATATGTATAAATAGAGGAAGTAATTTTTCATGACAAATACTTTTCGTATGCCTATTCCTAACTTTAGATACTGTAAGGTGTGCTTCTTCTTCGTTACGTGAAAACTGCGTTTTGTGTAAAAAAAAAATGTCTCTGTGCTTTTATCCTTGTGGGGATGAAACCACCATCCTTATGATTAAGTTTGTGGGTTTTCTCCCAAAGAGAGTAAAACAGACTGCAGATCCACACACACACACACACACATACATTTCCAAACACATGTACTGCCACTATTGTGAGATTTTTACTTTTATTAAACAACAGAGAAAATACTGCAAAGTTATTGCCATTTAATATTTTCCAGTTCTTTAGACAGAATTCTTACTTTCTTTTCTTGCTTCACAACCCTCATTTCGCAACCATGTTGATAGGACTCAGCATGAGTGGCTGATAAATCAAATTTACACCTTTGTTGTGCTTGTTTTTGTGGTAAAATGACACCTATGTCTGTTTTTGTGCTTTTTCTACACGTTCCACCCTTCAAGGCAGAGTGGGCTTTGTGGGGTTCAGCCAAGTGAAAGCTGTCTTCTCTCGAGGGGAGAATAGATGGTGGCAGATGTCGGAATAATCCATCAGATAACGCACAACAGATGTCTTAATATTCCCCAGCTTGTCCTGGAGTAGACATGAGTGACTAGGGGCTGGTCTTGTGAGACTGTGAACTAGGCTCTCTAGGAGCAGACATGTTTGATGAATTAGAGGGGACTGAAGTAAAGGGGAGAGGAGAGCCACGCAAAGCAGAAAACACAGGAGAACTGAGACTAAACACACATTTACTGTACACACCCTTTGCTGTCAGAGTGAGTCTGTAATCTATTATATAAAGCATGCTGAATTTCTACAGTATAGTGTGAAACAAGGTATTCAAAGTTTCTGGAACTCAGTGTAGTGGTAGTATAGTAGTGCAGTGGTAAGTCTTTGTATCAGATCTTGTGCCTTCCATGTCGGGGTGGGTACTGTAACAATGTTATTGTTATCGTGATAAATTATGTAGCAGTATACTTTTTCTAAACATGTTATGGATATCATCAGGACCTCTGGAACACTGAAGAAATGCATCTATCATAAAAGGACCAGTAATAGAGAGCCTACAAACTAGGGATGCACCAATCATAATCTTTATGGCCTATTCTGATTTCTTTACAGCCAAAATGACATATGACTGACCTTTTTTATTTACCCGAAGCTCACACTGTGTGGGCCAAATGAACATTTGAAACATACTTGCACATTCCCAGTTCCTAATACAAAAAATAATAATATAAGTAAAAATCTGCCGATTCTGATCATGCGTCCTTACTGTAAAAACAACCAGTGTATACTAACTGCATAAACTGCATAGTAACAGGTAACTTATTGGATGTACACCTATTATGCTGTTGTTCTTATTTTATTCATTTATTTTAACTACAACGCTGTTTCCAAAAAGTTGAGACGCTGTACAAAATGTAAATAAAAACAGAACACGATGTGCAAATCGTTTAAACCTTATATTGAATCGAAAATAGTACAAAGACAACATATTAAATGTTGAAATTGAGATTTTTTTTTTTTTTTGAGAAATATATACCCATTTTAAATTTGATGCCACTGTGTTGTATCATCTTGTCTTTTAACAAGAGAACTGAGGAGACCAGTTGCTGTAGTTTTGAAAGTGAAACATTTTCCCATTCTTGCTTGATATAGGATTTCAGCTGCTCAACAGTTTAGGGTCTTCTTTGTCGTATTTTTTATTTCATAATGCATCAAATATTTTCAATAGGTGACAGGTCTGGACTGCAGGCAGGTCAGTTTAGCACCTGGACTCTTTTGCTGTGGAGCCACGTTCCTGTAATACGTGCAGAATGTGGATTGGTGCTGTCTTGCTGAAATAAGCAAGGCTTTGCCTGAAAAAGATGTCATCTGGATGGCAGCATATGTTGCTCCAAAACCTGTGCATGTTATTCTGCATTAATGGTACCTTCACAGATGTGCACTTCACCCTTGCCATGTGCACTAATGCACCCCATACCATGACGGATGCTAGATTTTGAGCTTTGCGCTGAAAATAAGCAGGATGGTCCCTCTCTTCATTAGCCCGGAGGATGTGGCATCAGTGATTTCTAAAAAGAATTTCAAATTTTGATTGTTGGACAACAGGACACTTTTCCACTTCACCTCAGTCCATCTTAAATGGCATCAGGCCCAGAGAAGGCAGTGGCATTTATGAATCCTGTTTATATATGATTTCTTCTTTGCATGGTAGGGTTTTAACTCTCATTTGTGGATGCACTGAACTGTGTTCACAGCCAGTGGTTCTCGGAAGTGTTCCTGAGGGCCCAAAGATCACGGCCATCCAATATTGGTTTTTGGCCTTGTCTCTTACATACAGAGATTTCTCCCAATTCTCTGAATCTTTTGCTCGCAATGTCTTTTACATAGTGGTGAACTCCTGCCCATCCTTACTTCCGAAAGACTCAGCCTCTCTGAGATAAACTTTTTATACCCAGTCATGTTACTGACCTTTAGCCAGTTATGCTAATTAGTCTTGAGATGTTCTACCAGTTTTTTTTTTGTTTTTGTTTTTTTTTGCACTACATAACTTTATCAAAAAAGTCCCAAGTTTTTTAAATGTGTTGTTGGCATCAAATTAAAAATGGTAAAAACAATAAAATTTTCCTTGTTTCTATTTCAGTTCTGTTTTCAATTAAATATAGAGTTTGAATATGATTTGCACATCATTGCATTCTGTTTTTATTTGCATTTTGCACAGCATCCCAACAGTTTTGCAAACAGGATTGTAATTTTCCCTCCTGTTCCTTCTAATGTTTTTTTTTTATTTTCAGAATTTTTGAATTAAATCACGTAGCATTCACCGCTATTACAAGAGACACAGCTTTCACACAAGTCATGGTGCTTTATTTTCCTGCAAAGCTTTTGTCTCTAACAGCTAGCTCTCTGACTTAGTTCACATCTCTCATCTCTCTCACTGTCTGCTGGGGCGGTTCCTAGTCCTGCCCTCTACATTCAGAGTCCTTAGCAAACTGAACCAAACTTTTGCTCCTAAAACCACCATATAACATTACAACAAATGCAAACAAACGTTAATGCAGTAAAAAAATAACAATAAAATTAGCTTTTTCTCAAAAATGTGGTTGATATTGCATGAGCTAAAAAGAAAAACACCTGAAATAATTTACTGAAATATTGATAAGCCAAACTAGATATTGTATGATAACTACAAATAATGCTGGGCTTCCATGGAAAGAGGTTTGTAAATGGTTAAATGAACACACTTATGCACATAAAATAGCTACTTATTGTATTAATATTATTTGTTATTTATTACATTTATTCATGCTAATATTGTGTTTTCTGAGCAAATAAATGCTTACCGCTGAAATAAAGAGCTTTTTATAATTTCCTTAGGTGCCTACAACATTTGCAGCACTGTGTACATAATATTTTTGCCATATCTGCCTTCCTTATGTTCATGGTACTGTATAAAATGGAAGTGGTTATGATTTTTGAAGTTGAGTAATTCTTAAAATAGTGTATGTTAGTATAATGCATAACATCAGCCAAACAGTTTACATTAGTGCATGGGATCTCTGTGGATTTGTGGAAGCAACTACATAGCACATAGTCAAAAATCTTATTAAAAATCCACTACTGTAACAGAGGGCTCCCTGTTTGGTGATGCATTTTTGTCTGGCCTGTTCAGCACAAAACGTTCTTTGTCTTCATAGCTCAGGGGCTGTGGCATTTTTAAAAGGTTATGTGCCATCCTCAGGTTTGTTTATTTGTTTGTCTGCAGTGCCTACAACCATGCAGGGAATTATGGGAAACAAGAAGAGCCCTGTCTCATAAGTTCTGTGAGGTAAGCCTTTCCACACAAAATCTATTTCAGATCACCGGTGTGTTTAGGTGACCTGGGACAATGAAAAACAGTAAAAGAAGAACATCTGTCCACATTGTGGCATAGGATGTAAATAGAGAGTGTGCCTGTCATCAAGCTTCAGCAAATGTGAGATGATACAGCAGCAAACAGAGCCAAGCACTGTGTTGTTAGACATGTATGTTTGGAGATCAGTACACGCTTAACTGTAAAGAATCCTTAATGGTTCTGGGCTATTGGTCCTTTAAGTTGTGTAGAATGCTTAGATAATGTGGAGATTTTTGAAACTTTATATTATGTGAAAGCCAGGAGGGTAAGGGCTGAACGTGCTTGGAGACTGCCAATTCTATTACAGTTTTGTCAAGGCTATGGCATAGCTGAGGGGTTGCGCTACTCAAGAGCCCACTAAGAACATTTTATGTAATGTAAAGTTTCGAGAACAACCACCACATAGTGTAAAGGTTTTATACTACTTGAAGGTTTTCCCTAGAACCATTTATCAGTCTATTCAATGGTCCATCTGTTGAAAGGTTCATTATAGAACTAAAAGTGATTCTGCTCCAAAGAACACTATTTTTATTTTTAAGAGTGTAGAATTACATTTTAATTTATTTCCAACAAGCAAATATTTATCCATCAAGAACATAATAACAACTAGCAATAACAATGAGGTTTTCTAACCGACACTCAAAATAATCCTGGTAATTAATTAAAAACTTAAGTAAATAAACATAGTCAAAGCACAAGTTCCATAATGCATTAACAAATAGAGAAACTGATGACACAAGTGTCCCTTGAGCACTGTATATGTATGAGTATTTATGTGTGTGGATGACAGAAAGAAATGTAAAATTGAATCACTCTCATATTACATCTTTTTCAGATATGATTACACTGTCCTTTAATCATGTTTGTAGAACAGTGAGGTATTGAGAGAAGAAAATGCTGTTCCCCAAGACAGAAAAGAATGTAATTGAAGTGTGTTAGATAAGTCCAATACACACGTTCAAACCTTTGTTCTTCACAGAAAATATTATAACTGCTCAAATTGTGTTTCAAATCCAATAGTCAATATCCCTGCAAAGTTTTAAACTTTGGTGTAGCTGCAGTATATTAAGCCCATTGGATAATAAGTACCATGGTGTAAGTTTCAGTCACTCAGTATTAGAAACAAGCAGCGAGGTCCTTTGTTGTTTCCCCAACTCTGTGATTCATCGAATGGAAGCAACATGTGCCTTGCATCAACCTAGAGAAGTGTTGAGTTAAGTAATTCTTGGAGATGTTCTGTAAATGAACAGTTTCCAGAGGGCCTCGGCCAGGATCCCTGCAACCAGATGTGTCTTAAAAACCAGAGCTGAGTGATTGCCGAGTTTCAGACTTGAAGCAATGCAGTGCCAGCATGGGCAGGAGCGTGCAAGACATTACAAGCTAACACCACAGCTCTGTCTTACATAGAAACTCCGTCTGCTGTGGCTCACCCAGGGAGCGTAAGTGGGTGGCTGCTCCTAACCACTGTATCTCCTGCTCTCTCTCTCTCTCTCTCTCTCTCTCTCTCTCTCTCTCTCTTTCTCTTTCTCTCTGTCCCACTCTCCCTTTCTCCTGAAAGAAGCACCATGAGTGCCTGACCAGTGCTGAGTTCCTGCTGTCGATGCAGACGCAGAAGCAGGGCGACTGCCCCGCTCCTCAGCGGGCCTCAGGCTTCGCGGCGGCCTGTGTAGAAAGCTGCAGCTCTGACCGGGAATGTTCTGGCTCCAAAAAATGCTGCTCCAATGGCTGTGGCCACACATGTCAAGCCCCTGCCAACCTTTTCAAAGGTATGATAAACCATCTAAAAGTGGAGTTCACCAGTGCAGGAATAAATTAATTTGTAGCTTGAATAATCTACTCATTAGTAATTGAAAAAAGATAAACCTGGCCTTTAGAAAGACACTTAAATTGACATTAAAACGCTATATAAATGCATGTGAATGGGTGTCTGACAGACTCTGTTTCTCTAAGAGAGACCAGTTGGAGAATTATCAAAGTAATCACTGACAGTTCCTCAAAAAAGTACATTGTTTTCAATTTGCTGATGAATTGTTTTTAGTTATCAAGTAATTGAGTATGTTTGTTTGATTGTGACAGCCCTAAAATTCATTTAGATGCATTACTTCATGTGTCCAGTCCCTCATTCCAGTGTTTTTGAATTGTGTTCACTGAGATGTAATTAGCTGAGATTAAGAGTTGATGGTTTAAAACCCAGGGCACACAACCCTACATTCTTCATCAAACATGAATATTCTAATCTTGGCTGTTGCCTTTAGAATGTACTGAAAAAGAATTGAATGAATGGGACAAAAGTTCCTAATAATCACAAACAGGAACAACATACCAAAATATCTTTTGGTTTGTTGGTGTTCATTGAAAAACGTTGGGTCGATATGCTCTCATCTCCAAAGAGCCATTTTTATTTTGAACTGTAACTTTGCATCATTAATAGGATTTACCATCACCCTTGCTTGCCAAACGTTTTTACTGTGCAGAATAGGACAGTAAGGTTTTTTCTGTGGCTGATACTTGTTTCCCACTTGTTGTTTTATAGGTGTCCCTTTGAAGCCAAGGAAAGACATGACCTTTCTAGAGGACCAGCATGGACAGCTGGAAGTTGCATGGATGTCCAAGTTTAATGTCTCTATTGAGCCAGTCCTGTATATTCTGCAGAGGAGGTGGAACTATGGTATTCATCCCAGTGAAGATGATGCTTCACCCTGGCACACTGTTCTGATGGTAAGTGCACAACGTGCTATTCATGTTCGAGTTTCCTAAAAGCTACAATCCTCTCAGTCTGGATCGGTATGAAACCTGTATTCTCTGTGTATGTGGCTGTACTTTGGTCCTGCTGAGACACTATTCAAGCACTCTCTGTTTCTGTGTATGCATGAACAGACATTTCACAGAGTTTACAGCTATGCTAATGGAACTTACTAAACTTGTAAATACTCTATCTTAACCATGCATTGCATAAAGGGAGTACTCGCATGCTTAAGTGCTCCATTAGTATGAACTCTATGATCTATAATGCAGAACAGTTAGGCCTGTAAAACCTCCAGTGCTGCAAATCTGGTCAGCTGCCAAACTGCCAGAACTTTACACTGAGACCCCATCAAGCAAACCTGACATAGCAGCTCTTGTTCAAACCACTTGACTGCAAGAATATATGGTTTCTCTCCTTGAAACCATATATTCGGGCCGTTAAGTCTAGGTCTCTTCTAAATGTCAGCTTACATTTGAAAAGACAAGCTAGCAATATGTAAAACCAGTGTAGTTTTGTGTTTCAGTAATGGAGCCATGTGGTAATTCAACACCTTTAAACCAGCTTACAACAAGCAATGCATTACAGTCCACTCCAGGCTCAGACTGGCCATCGGGAGTACCGGGGGATTCTCCGACTGGTAGTTTGACTTGTCATTTTGTCATTAATGTTAGTGCTAAATATGAACTACAGCACAGTTCAGCCACAGCCATTAAATATGTTAAAAAAAACAATAACAACAACAAAAAACACAGCGTTTGGTATTCTTAAAGCACATACACTGTGTACGTAGTGTAATAATCCGTATTAAATCAGAGACGTGTAGTACAACTAGCTGGCTAGCTAGCTTATACTTAGCTTGTCTACTGGCATTGCGTTGGGTTCAGAACTTTGCAAAATGGATAAAAAGGAGAGAATGGGGGAGCTGAGAGAGAAAAAGAGAGTGTCCTCTGAATAACTGATTCAGCAACAGAGCCTCCAGTCGATCTTTAGCCTTCTCTACTCACCTGATCAGTTAGCTAGGCTGCTAGGCCTACTGCTGTAGGTTTACTGTCAGAAAATATCAAATAAATCCACCACCATCTTCAGACTGGTTATTGATTTTCAGACTGTAGCTAATCAATTTAATTAACGAGTTCACTTACAAAAATGTATTTATTGTAGCATTTATTATTAATCCCAGCGTAGCCATTTTACCCCTGATTTCATACAAACACAAATTAACAGAACAGTCTTCAATCATGTGAAACATTTTCTTTCTGTTATTTGCACTGGAATGTTTAAGTGACAGCTGATTATGGCACTGCCACATAGAGCCTGACCATTTTTATATTTTATTTTTATAACAGATACCGGTTTCGATATTTGAGGATTTAAAAATCCAATATATCTGATATGTTGGCCGAAATTCTTTATTTTCTTCTTTAGAAATACATAACATAAACAAAGATCTTTCTAAACTTTTTATGTATAGTTATTTAAGAGTCCTCCCACAGATAACGTGACATGACAGTTTAAAAATAAACTTGCAACTTTGGGATTTTACACTGGAGTGTTACGAACACAAATAAACATCCTTCGTATTATAAAGGATTTATTGATTAACCGGATTACATGCAGGACCATCCAAGCCATGGCTGATACTTGTTCGGCTCACGATGATTTACATGTCCCCTCTGGTTTAGTAAATTCCAGTGCTTCGACTGCGACATGTGAGTCGCAGATATGTTAACTATTGTTTTATTTAGGCACAAGGCTGAAGTTGGCTTCATATTCGCCAGTTACATTCTGGTGCCTAAGGCTGCTGCTGTAACCATTTAACATGAAACAGGAAAACTCAAACAAGAAGCCGGCGAATAAGAAGCTGGCAAATAAGAAGCTGGCGAATAAGAAGCTGGCTTTGTTGAGCTTTGTCTTTCAGGCAGAATAAGTTAAACACTATTTAACCACTCATTAATGTTTGTTGTTTTCCACTGATAAACGTAGCATTAGCTAGCTTTGTGGGTAACCTAATTTAGCAATGAACAGCGTTATAAGTTGCTGTAAGCCATGTTCCCAAAAAAAAAGACTAGGACCGTTGTTTGTTTACTCACTAGAGCTGCCACACTATTTCATAAATTAATTTACAATCAAGTTGGTCTACAGCTTAGCCTACACCACTCAACTACTGTAATGTTAAACATAGGCTAATTGTAATGTTTGCATTCATTGTTTTTGCACTGGGGCACATAAGATCCTAGATATGCCACTGCTTGCTGTGTATTTTCATTTTTATGTCAGTCTTTAATACATCTATGCCTACATTCTGGGTAGTGTTCTTTATCTGTTTAACCGTAGTGTTTTCATAATTATTATTTTTTTTTACTTAAATTATTTAAATCTACTTACTAGTGTATTCTTGCTTCATAATAATTCAGTATTGGTTGATTTTTACACACCTTGCTTTAGGCTTTGTTTGATTCATTCTGCTTGTTCAGTCTCATGATGACCTTGCTTCTCTAGCTTTGACATATCTTTAGCCCTCATTTTGAGAGACAATGGCAACAGAATCTTGACAGACAGATGCAGATGGCACAGCTAGAATTAACTCTGCACCTTTTGTTAGCTCTCTTGTGCATGAGAAAGTCACTCCATGATGTACAGAGGGCAAGAAATAACAAAACAACCAAGTGTCCTATTAAATAGGACTATGTAAAAAAAAGGTTACACATTTCCCCTGATATGGGCACAAATACTCTCAGACCCAAGTTTCTGCACTGTAAACTCATACCCATTGTTTCAAATCCAACATGCTAGAGTTCAGACCCCAAAACAACCACAAAATGTGACAGTGTCTAGTTTGCTTATGGACTGTATGCTTTAGTGGATGCTCTCTAGCAGACTCTGAACTAGTCCACTGATTTCAGCAGTTCCTGTTTGAGGCCTTGAATTTCTAATTAAATGACCAAGAGACAAACAAAAAGTCCATTGTCAGCTCCATTTTCTCCCAATAGGAACTGTTTGCTAATGGATGGGAACATTTAAATGGTGCTTTTCAGCAGGCTGTATAAAGAGATATCCCTGCAGGAGATCAACCTGTCACTGGAAGCTCTTATCAGTAAGCAGCAATGATGGCGCTCTTTCAACCGATTTGTCTTAATTAAATCTACTGTGACCTCTCTCCCTCTTCCAGACCATGGAAGAACGTGCCGTGCTCAAGGATGTACGGCCCCACAGGTGGTACCAGTTTCGGGTCAGTGCAGTCAACAGTCAGGGCACTCGTGGCTTCACGACTCCCAGCAAGCACTTCTTCTCTACACGAGGTAAAATGCTGGCCTTTTCAAATAATTCCTAGTGAAGTTGTTTTGCATCTACTGTAGGACTAGATGAGATTTTAGAAACATAACTTCATAATAGCATGAAGGCATTTCACATACTGCGCAGCACTTCAATCAATCAAATAAGACCTTAGACATCTGTATCATTTGGAAGCCTTTTGTTTTTTATTGAAATATGCAGTTGGTCAGGGTTCTTTAAAACTGCCCCTATGTAAGTTTTGGGGATTTTAAGACCTCATTGGTGGTAATATGCAAATGCACACAGTGTGCAGTAGAGCACCATATCGCACATCCCTTTTCTACTGATATTTTGTTGAAGATAAATGTTCTCATAAACATAAGAAAAACTTGGTTTAGGGTGAGAACAGTTGTAGACGCACACGCAAACACTCACACAGAGAACTGGAAACCACAGCAGTTTGGCAACACTAGAATGAGCTACCTTCGTAGAACTGGTCTGCCTCAAAACAAAGGAATCCACAGCCTGTGCATCATCACAGCTTTGAGATCCTGCCCCAGTGAGCTCTCACGCACCCCATCTTTCATGTTAAGTACTTGGTTCGTCAACATCGTGTCAGATATTAAACATGTTTTGATGTAAAAGGAGAAATGCTCTGGAATAAACTTTTCCATGGATGCCACAAACAAATACACAGGAGAGAAGACTGAGAGTGCTCAGTATCAGGTTTTGCCCCTTGGGGGCCATTTCGGTTTTGAAAGAGTGCCTAACTGTTTTTACTGCCAGTGTTTGTTTTACTTAATTTATCTAATACATTCAGGCCTAACTGTGTTTCTGAAGGTCGTCTTAGACCACAGGGGTGCTCAATTTGGCACATTCAAAAAGCAAGGCTATCAGAGCGCCAAGTATAAAATATCATAATGTGCAGGGTGAGGTAACACCGAGTCCATCGCCAGTAATGACTGGAATCAAATCCCTTTTTATTGTTAAAATTACCAGCACTTGGAACAAGCATAAGAGTGTCAAAAGTACTTCTCATCCTTGTTGATGCCTTTGGCCATTTTTATTGCTGGTTTCGCCGGTCATTTCTGTCATTTTCTGAAACTGTGCACAGCACAACTTTGGCTGTAATCTTGCTGTTAAGCTGTGAGAAGCTGATCCCTTCAGCCTGCAGCAAAGATCGATATTAACACGCTATCACGTGACAAGCTTAAATTATTGTTACTGTTAGTGACAAAGCCAGCATGCATTGACAGTTACCTCGTAGAGAACGTTGATAAAAAACATAGAGCATTTCCACCATATGGCTTTCTTTCCATTTCCCTTGGGGTCACAAAACATGCAACATTCATCAAATTGCCACGGGACATACGAGTAGTGGGGGGGTATGGGACGTGCATGAAGAATGCTAAAGGTCATAAGTCACGTGTGTAGCTGCCATTGCTCAAGGAAACTCAGAGATGAAAGGTTCTCCCTCTGAGGCTATGTGACTCGGTGAAGAAAAATCTGAGCGACAGTTTTTGGCTTGCGACCTTAAAGCAGGCCACGGGGCCTTGTGTGTTGTTCGGGGGCCGCCTCCCAGCATGAAATGAAACCTTTGTTTTCATAAGGATGCTGAGCGTGGCTGTGTGCAGCAGGACCAGGAGAGCAAACATGGGACGCTCAGAAGCCCACCCTAGAGCCGCACTGCTGTAACAGTTTAAGCAGGCTGGCCTTTCTGCATTTACAGTAGCTGATATTGCACATCAAAGCCAAACTTTTTCTCCATGCCCTTTGGAAGTCAAATCAGATTGAATGCCCTCCAAGATAATTTTTTTCAGATGAAACACTAGACCCCTGGAGCTTGTTGTTGAGTTATTTGTTTTCCGGCAGTGCTTAAGTACTAGCAGTCAAATGCTCATACTGGTACTCAAAGCTAGAGGGCTAGAATAACCCATAATTAGTGAATGCAATTAAAAGCCTTTTCTTCCTGATTTTCATGTCAAAAGCTGAACATTGCATCATACTTAGTGGTGGTTTCAAGCTTACAATTTGGTCTAGACTAAGTCAATGACAATACAGTAATACTGTTGTTACTTCCATGTTGTAAGCCTAGCAGTTTTCCAAAATATTGTGATGGGGTGAGACGCGTGTTAAAATGAGGAGCAGATTGAGGCTGTTGTGTCTATATCTCCTTTCAGAGCAACATGACTTCTATACCACTGGCTTAGTAGTGTTGTGGTAACGAAGGCTTGCCCACCCCGCCCAGCAGCAAGAGACAGAATTTCCATCCATCACATATTTGTCCCACCTAAGACTCATCCACCGCAAATACTAGTACACATGGGCTGCTGAGTGGCAGTGCAGGCTTGTGAAAACAATCCCGATGTGGCCAAGATCCACTAAAGCTGAATAACAGAAGGACAGAAGGACGTGGAGGTTGTTAAAATGCAGCACTCAGTAACTCTCTAATTTTTTTTTACAGGTTCACAAGCATTTGATGTTGTTGGCCTCGTGCAGGTTTACTAAATATATCAAAGCCCTTATAGTTTTCCTGTATTGCTAGTTGATACTGGAATATTAAATTGCATAGTCATGCTTAGTTTGATAATTTTTTGCAAATATTCTGAAAATATTTTATCTACAAGATATATGGCTTGTGACAAAATATATATGATATTCATCATTCATCAAATTCACACCTGTATTATTTTAATCACCCTCTTGATGCCTGTAACACAGCTAGCTAAGCTACAGCCTCCTCACAAAGGATTATTAATTAATAATAATAGCCTATGTCTTCCCATGTGAATTTAAAGCATTTCATTTTTGCACAGATTTATCAAAAAAGATCTCAAGTAAATAAAATATTTTTAAATGTTATCATTCTGATATTAGCTCTTCCACCTTCTTCCACAGCCTCTTTTCACTAGTCATGTTTATTTTGATGCATATATTTATTTACATTTGTATAAATACATATTTATGTATGTATTTAGGTTGGAAAGCTTGTCTGGTTCAAACCACATAGGGCTGTACTGAATTAATTGTGTTTGCATTGATTTACCAGACTATGACTATTTAATGACTTAGAACTAGACCCTCAGTTGTTTGCATAAAAAAACTCTCAATCTCGCTCAAATACTTATAAAATTATATAATAGAAAACAAAATGTATTATGTTGTGTTCCACTCTGCTCTGCCAGTGGTAGTAGTAAAGTAAAATTTCCTGGTGCACCGTTGTTTCTGCCTAGTATCATCTAAATGATTAGGTAGTAGATTAAATTCCTGTTTATAACCTGTGGAGCTCTTTTGACCTGCTATGAAAATAAAGGTATCTAAAAGTGAATACAGCAGGACAGTACTAAAGTCAGATGAGACTATATAATTTTAGTTATAATGATAATTTTCTGTCCCCGTGATGTTAATTCACCTCTCAGACTGGCTATAATGCCATGCTGTTACTTTCCATGAGCTGTTGATTTGTATCCTTCTCTCCTCTGCTGGGTTGCACGCTCTTCATTCCTCACAGCTGCGGGTCACGTCAGGAGAGCGCTAACAAACCTGATGAAAAGCAGCGTTCTGAAAAAAGTGCCTTCCTTTCTCCCTATTGCAGACCCATTCCCCCCCGAGACCCCGCAAAATACTAGGGCTGAGAATCAGACGGTGCACGCTGACGGAAGGGTGAGCGTGCTGCTCCGCTGGGACCCTCCTGGTGAGGGTGACCTGGTGGTCCACCATTACAAGGTGACCTGGATTGCACGTGGAGCGGCAGCAGACGGCCCAAACTGGAAGGAGAGCGGTCGGGTCACAGACGGGGTAAGACTTCCCCAGTGCAGCTCATATCTCATCTCCCTTAGAAGCCAACCAACGCACTACCTCTGGCTCCAAATACTGCAAATATTTTTCTGTCTCACCTTAACTGCAGGGGGTTACGTTGAATATATTTTGTGGGAGGAAAATCCGTTTTAGAAAAACAAGCACCTAAAATGGTGCCAAAAGCTCAGAAAGGTCCTATGAGGTCCTCAGCTTCCCTAGTTCTTGAAGTTTATGAGTTATCTGTTTGTATCCTTCACTTAAGACATCTGGCATCTGCACACACAGGGGAGTATACACTGTTGCTATTCTACTCTTCTGTGTCCCATTCATGCAGAGGAGGTCCTAAATCTAAACTAGAGCTGAAGAATTGAACATAGTTTCACTAGTCAGTCCTGCTCTACTTTTGGCCACCATTGTCTTGCAGGTGTTGGACTCTGGTGCACCACCTGCATTCTAATAAAGTGCAAGCCAGTGTATTTATTTCTCCACAACGCCCATAGAACAAAGACGCCATCTGGTCTTGTGATCATCGTATTTTACTGTAACCTAAGCGCTCTCCTTAAAGCCGCAACTCTCAAATGGTTTTGATTAGGTAATTTGTTTTTACAATGCAATAACTTCAGGGTCTGAGAAAGCCATCCATTTTACTGAACGGTAGCCTATAAAGAAGAGCTATTTCAGAGACAAGCTTCAAAAACCATTCATTTCTTTTAAGTGTTTGAGGGTTATTGAAAGCTATAAAGACATAAAGCATCATTCTGAACCAGCCTAGAGTTATTAAGAAATATTTTAATCCAAAAAACACAGTGTAGTTAAAACAAAATGCACCACAACCTTACATCTTTGTCATATGAGCATGAAAGGAGCTCAAAAGAATGCATCATTGAACATGATGACCTTATTTGTCTAGTATAAGTATCAAGCCCTTATGTTCTTGCTCATTTGTTTGAAAGATTGAGTTAACAGAAGAAGACAAGATGATGGTGGAATATTGTTATATAATTGAAGACCAGAGAGGCTCTGAATAAAGAGAGCCAAATCTGTGCTGGCTTTTAATGGTGATCCGAAAGATGACTTGCATCCCCTTAGAATCTCATAACATTTTTTATTCCATCTCCCTGATGGAGATGGCAGTCGGGTCCTCCAGCATGAGACTGTTAGGAATTTTTACAAGGGCTCCAACTACATTCCCACACCAAAGAGCAGCAGCCGAAACCTTCCCCGCTCTTTATTTTATAAATAAAACTTTCCCTGACCTCATCAGCAAGAGCACATTTCTACAAATGCCTACAACAGCCAGGCAGGAGTTACAGAATGTTAGGCCACTTGTTATGAGGCACACTATGAAAATGTTTGTGTTGGAGCCCAAAGCATTAACCTGGAATATTTACCGGAGGTCAAGTTGAGTTTTTTTTTTTTTGTACCTCATAAAAGGGAAGCATTGAAAACACAAATTTTGGTTTGGACTGTGGATGAATATGTGTATGTGTAGCCTTACTAAGAAAGAAATGAGAAAGGATGTAGGGAATATATAGTTGTAAATGCAAGGAGAACTAACCTTTCAAAGCTGATGTAGCACCCCTACCTCTATCCTATCCTTAAGCATGATAGTAATACACACTAATCTAACTTCATGCCGGCATAAAAGGGACATTTCTACCAACACAGAGCTCATCTTGCTCTGTTTTGTCCAACCAGAAACTCAATTTCCTATTGGCTCTTAAGGCAAAGAAGTGTTCATGGCCTGGAAGTCATAACATGTGGCTCCATGGTAACATAGGAGGGCTTCGCACACATGCATTCCTCTGGGCTCATTCACACACATGCTAGTGAAACACATGTTTTGGCTATCTGGAGGAGCATTGACATATTGAACCTCATTATTCCGTATTAATGTTGCGAACGCTGACGCGCTGTTACCTTCACTGGAAAATCAGCGGCTATCCTACTGACTACTCTGTTTGGTCTACTGGTGCAAGGATATGAGGTCTGCTTAGACTGTTGTTTAAATATCCTGTCAATCATCATAAAATGAGCAAAAGAAATATGACTTACCAAGAAGTCAGAAACCAGCATGAACACAGTGGGCCTACAGTTTGATTTGACTCCAAGCATCAAAATATATTTCAGTCCATACTGTGATGTGTTTGTCTAGTTACCCCTTAATAACAATGGTTCTGTACCAAAGAAATGTTAGATCTCATTCCTACTGGGGTATTTTGCTATTGTAGTTGGACGTGTGTTCTTTGTCATGTCCCACAGACTCTGACTGAGATGGAGCTGGGGGGACTCCAACCTGACACACACTACACAGTGCAGATTCAAGCCATTTCTTTCTGGGGGCAGAAGCGTTTAAAGAGTGGCCGTGCACAACTCTTCTTCACCACTGCTCCTTCCACTGGTAAGAGCTATCCTTGGAATAAGGGACATGTGTTTCTGCATCTGTTTGCTTGAACATATTTTAGCACAAGAGCTTTTGGAAATCTCTCATATATTCTAATGAATTATTTTAATGTTCTGAACCAGTGCCTTATATTATGTTTGATGCCAAAATATAAATTCAGCAGAATAGCTGTCGGGTTTTAAACATTTGCTCTTTTTCAAGTCTTTGCTCTCCTCTCCCACCTTTAGCTATTAATCAGTGTTGTCATTGATAATCTTGCAACATCGGGGCCATTATAAACACTAAAAATCTTTGCTGACAAAATGACTGTTACATCAGAAAACATGTCTTCTTAAAGGGGTTTGCTCTTTGGCACCTAAACTGAGCCAGGCCATTTTTCCACGGATGAAAAGAGTTAACTTCTCCTTCAAGTAGCAGATTCCTGGCTTGTATTAGTACTTTGGATCACTTCTTATCTGGGTCCAGTTGAATTGTGGGTCACTAAAGGGAGGCTTATGGCGGATGTCTTGATTGAATCACCCCACCAGGGCTTTGGTTCACCTCACTTGTCCCTCACCAGAAGAAAGATCTGGCCTTTTTCGAGAAAACGAAAAAAGGAGTTTCTCCCCCGTGTTGTTGTTTTCTGTTTTTAATTATGCTTTGTAAATCTTCCACTAATTCTGCCAAAACTAATTCCAGACACACAGCAAAGAAGCATGAGAGTGTAGTGGAGACCTCCAAGCTCTGCTTTGGCATCAGTTATTCATTCTAGAATGCATAACTGGTGGACTAAATAATGCAAAGATCTATTCCATTTTTAAAAACTGAAACATGCATTTATGTTTGCCTTGCTCCCCAATTATTTCGGTTCCCTTGTAGTCATTTTATATGTCTTATAATTTTTTCCCTCCAATTTAATCAGCGTTCTGTGGTCCCTCAGGAGGCCTCTAAAACATTGCTTGTATTATAAAATATTCTTCTCCATAAATGTAGACCGGGTACTAACCTGTACTTAATGGGGTGCAATTTATGCAGCTGGCTTTATGGAAATGAACAACTTCTGTATGTAACCTGAAAATGCATCAGTCTTTTAGTCTTATTAATGTGTAGATTCAATGTCATATTCACTTTGTTTGTTCAACATGCTTTTTCACAAGCATTTTCATATTTGTTAGGCTCTGCATCTGCTTCCATTTTCAAAAAGGTTTTTTCTTTCACCCCTACTGAGAAGCTCCACTGAGCCAACTGATCATGCAAGGCCTTGGAAGGGTCATGACTAAAATGAATTCCACTCTGTGAATGCAAATCTCCTCCTCTCGTGGCAGGCTCCTCGCCTGGCCACGGGCCACTCTCTCGGGAATTCTCCAATGAGCTGCCCATCTCCCACTCCTCTCCCGGTGTCCTGCGCCTAGAGGCCGCAGCCCCCCACTACTATGACAATCAGCTGCAGGTCAAGGTGTTCTGGAAGAGTCGACTCCCAGGCAAGTGAACCACATTGTTGGGGAACGCATAAATCAAGGCCTCATGGGGAGTTTTTGTTCGGCGACGACTGTGTTAAATTAAATTTTAAATTGCCTACATTTTTTCACACTGATTATACAAAGCACATCTGTGTGTAAGACACCCCTTTAAATTTCACAGCAGATCCGCCTGTGTCCTTGAACCGGTCAGAGCCAAGGAAAAACAGCAGAGTGACAAATGTTTTATTGAAGAGCATTACAAAGACACAAGTCTTATGATGAATTTTATCCATCCTACATAAATAGACACTCTCGCTGGGGTGCCCTCTCTATACCTTATCCAGCAGATTACTTTGAGTTTGCTTAGTAAGCATGTTCCAAAAATAACCTTTTGGCGACATGATGCTCTTCAAAGGGAGGATTGTGCTGAAACCACAAGGCATCATAAACAGGGGGTGCTGATTTACCGTTATCTCTTGGAAAAAGAGGCAAAGAGATGGATGAAGACAGATTTAATAATATCAATATGGCTGCAAAATGAAAAGCAGATGTAGGGAGATGGCTCTCTGGGCTTCAGACAACCTGATGCACTGTGGGAAATGAGTTTGATGAAAGATGTAATGCTGCTTGGACACAGAACAGGAAGGGGAGGCAGCCTGTCCCTTAAAATGTGCTCATGCATACACAGCCTTTGAAAAATCAGCCAGGGCACAGGCGAGCACCCCAGACCTAATAAACTGTGTTTATATGTTTCCTATGCAGAAAACCAGAGGGGTTCCTCCTCATACCTTTTAAGCTGGTATCCAGAGGTATGTGCCAACAATGTGACCAAGAGAGAGAAGAAGGCTACTGTACAGGTAGGTCCACCATTTTCACTATTTTGTTGTCAATGCAAGCATAGGAGTAAGCAAAACTCATTTGTATTCAAACTGTCTAGTCAAAGTGGTCTTCCAAGAGTTTCAACATATATAAAACCATTTCCATAAACATTGGGATGAGGTGCAAAATAAAAATGAGAACAGAATGCAATGATATGCAAACCATTTAAACTCTATTAAACTATATTTGATTAAAAAAGCATAAAGACAACATATCAAATGTTGAAACTGAGAAATGTTATTGTATTTGAAAAAAAAAATGCCCATTTTAAATTTGATGACAGCAACACATTTCAAAAAAGTTGGAACAGAGACATTTACCGCTGTGTTGTATCACCTCTTCTTTTAACAACACTCTATAAGCATTTGAGGACTGAGGAGACCAATTGCTGTGGTTTTGAAAGTGAAATGTTTTCCCGTTCTTGCTTGTTATATGATTTCAGCTGCTCAACAGTTTGGGGTCTCCTTTGTTGTATTTTTCGTTTCATAATGCTCCAAATGTTTTTGTGGGTGACAGATCTGGACTGCAGACTGGCCAGTTAAGCCCCTGGACTTTTTTACTATAAAGCAATGCTGTTGTAATACATGAAGAATGTGGTTTGGCATTGTCTTGCTGAAATAAGCAAGGCCTTCCCTGAAAAAGACATCGTCTGGATGGGCGCATATGTTGCTTCAAAACCTGTATATATTGTTCAGCATTAATGGTGCCTTCACGGACGTGCAGTTCACCCATGCCATGTGCGCTAATGCACCCCCATACTATCACAGATTGAACTGTGTGCTAATAACAAGCTGGATGGTCCCTTTCCTCTTTAGCCTGGAGGATGTGCCGTCCATGATTTCCAAAGATCCCGACCAGCCAGTGTTAGTTTTCGGCCTTGGCCCTCGCATACAGAGATTTCTCCAGATTCTCTGAATCTTTTATTGATTTTATATACCGTAGAAGATGAAATCCCCAAGTTCTTTGCTTTTTATGCTATTCTTGAATTGTTTTGCCTGTGCAGTCTTTGACAGAGTGGTGAACCGCTCCTCATCTTCTGAAAGACTCAGCCTCTCTGGGATGCTCTTTTTATACTCAATCATGTTACTGACCTGTTGCTAATTAATTAGTTGTGAGATGTTATAGCAGGTGCTATTGTAGCGTTACACAACTTTACCAGTGTTTTGTTGCCCCTGTCCCAACTTTTTTGAAACATTTTGCTGGCATCAGATTCAAAATGGGCATATATTTTAAAAAAAAATATATATATTTCTCAGTTTCAACATTTGATGTTTTTTGACTGTTTTCAATTAAACGTAGGGTTTAAATGATTTGCATATTATTGCATTCTGTTTTTATATACATTTTGCACAGCATCCCAACTTTTTGGGAAACAGGGTTGTAAAAGAAGAAATGCACTGCATTGTCCAGTTTTTATATTGCTTTTGCTTCCAGCTTTGGGGATGAACACTTAAATGTAATAAAGCAAGGCGATAAGGCGACTTAGCAGTCACTTTGGGTTTGGACCTATCAGCCAACGAGAGCAGGAGAGAAATTGTGTGTTGTTTAATAAATATAGGAATGCACTGGGCAGGAACTGTTTACTTTTCAAGCAGCAGGCTGACATGGTCTTTGAACAGCCACATCAGTACCACACTTAGCGACAACAGCCTTTATTGTCTGATTGATTTGAAGATGTATTCATTTTAGGTGGAAGAGAATTATTATTACAAATAGTCCTTGAAAGGTACCAAATATACCCATATATGCATATATATGTCCAAAAGATTGTAGGCATTTGTTCTTCCAATAAAGTCCCCCTGCCTTTTGATTCAATAAGAGCATCTGTAGCTATAGGTGAAGTAGCTAGCATATGTAGCTATAGCTGAAGTAGCTAGAAAAGACGTATCTGTACTAAAACTCAAAATTTTAAGACATCATGCATTAAGATTTTTAAGTTTTCTCAGCAGCTTACTAGTGTTCATTTGTTTAATCTGCTTAGATTTTTTTTGTTCATTCAGTGGCAATAAAATCATTTTTTTTCTGAAAGAAACATGGCCTATGATATATTAAGCATTTTACAGTATTTGGCAGATGCTCTAATCCAGAATGGCTTCCAGTCTAATCATGTAAGAGAGGATAGGTAATGTAGCATTAGAAGTTCATTGCATTACTAACCACTACTTTCAGATGCTTATTGGTACAGCATGATGTGCTTGCCTGGGCAGGGAATCAAACCCCAGTCTGCTGGGTGGAGAGCAGAGGTGTTACCTGCTGTGTCATACAAACTGCAAGCAAAAGACCAGATGGTGATGTTTTTATTGTCACACACATCGTGTCTCAACAAGTAATTAATAAATACATTGTTGTCTTTAGACAGTTGGAGTAGTGTATTGAGTAACACTGCTGCATTCCACCCAGCAGACTAAGGTTCAATTCTCTGCTTGGGACAAGATTAGTTTCTTTTTACAGAGTGGATACTTTTGGACATATACACTTTATCAGGGTTCTACAGTGTGAACAAAAATTTGCTCCTTTAAAAAAAATGCGACCAGGATTTTGATTTAGGAGCACTTGTGCAAGGACAGATTTTGGCCTGAATAGCCCACCACTTCATTATGTGTCAAAACAAATGTGCAGATTTTTTTCAACAATGCGTTCCACTGGCCTCAAACATTACTGTATTTACAGGCAATGACAATTAGCCTATTTGTCAGTTGTGCATATCACAAGCCCAACTAACCTGCTAAATAACTGCCCTACATAGCTATCAAATCTCAGTGTCTCGTGAATTAAAAAGTCACTATTACTCCATGTTGCGCAGGTACGTCACAGAAACAGCCAATACCAGGCTCAGCTACATATTTGCAGCACACTGTCCGGTGTTATTAACCAATATGGCTTCATGAAATTAAAGACAAAGTGTAGTTTTCATGCACTTACATTTAAACAGGCTGCCAAAATGGATTCTAAGCAGAACAACGATACACTCTCAAACAAAAGAAAAATATCCCCAAAGCACAATTTAATTTGATTGAGTCGAGAAATTAAAACCATGGGGAAAATCTGCTTTGTGTAGGTAGTAGGTGTGCTGTAAAGATCATGGCGTCAAGGCTTCTGGTTCGTTTCAGTGAGTTAGATCAATTGGCTCAGCTCAGCTTTTGGCTCCAAAGCATATATTTATTCAGTTGCTTTGACAGGTGCTTAAATTCCAAAACTAGCAAAGGTAGCGATATTGTCCCTTATTCAGTTTACAACAAAGCTTAGAGTCTAATGAACAAAAATTGCATTATATTACAAAACACAAATACAATAAATGTAAAACTATCAACGCCAACAGAAATGGTTTGCAGGCCAAACTTATATTTGCTGCTACAGGGACATACTTTCATAAGATAAAAAGACAGAAACACAGATGAAGTGATATAAACTGGAAGAGAAGAACATAAGTACTAAAGTATACTTATTATACTTTCAGTGGCTAACAATGAAGGCATGAGGTCATTATTAAGACCTGCACATTGTCTATAAACATTATATAACAGCACAGTGTCTTATTTTGTGTTTTCTTGAAGTCTGTGCTCAAATCTAGATAAATGGCACTTAATGGTATTGCATTGGAGTTATGTTTCCAAGCGCAATCCGTCATGGGCTGGTAACGAAGGTAATGAAAATGTGTGAAAAGTAGACTACTGCCTTTCTTTTCATGACATAAATACATTCCAGATAAAGAGATGGATATCTGATTTCCCATCAGGAGAGCAGATTAACATGCAATTCTAGTGGCTCAGTTTAATCACACTTTCCACATAGTTTATTTTGAATTCTTTGAAACTTTTGTTTTGTGGCCGTTCCCTTAAGGGTATTTTGTTCACATTTTATTCTTCCATTTCATATCTTGAGTCCTGCCTCATACAGTTTGTTTGTTTTCATGTGGAGTGGTAACTTGAGCAGGTGTCTTGATTTGTTACATTCTCCCTGTCATATTTTCCCAGGGCACACATTTTGTCATCACAGGCCTTCTCTTTGCCTGTAAGTACAAGGTGGCTGTGATGCCCTTTTCAGAACATGGACAGCGGGCAGGTGCTGTGACCTCCGTCACTACCCCACATTGCTCAGCAATGAAAGGCCGGGGAAAGAAACTACAATCCTGTGCCCGGGATGGTAAGACAAGATTTTAAAAGTCAATGTGAATAGAAAACCCTAACTAGAGACTGACTATCCACAGCAAAAAAGAATGTGAGCTACAATATAAATTGTTTTAAATCTAGAAGCATTTGCCTGAAATACAAGTCCTTCACGTCACTGATGATGTCCTTCTTTGCTGTAGAGCGCCATCTGCAGGTGAAGAAAGCACTGCAGCGCCCTGAGAAGCTGACTGCAGTGTTTCAGACGGTAAACGGCTCCCTGGAGGGCCTGTTTAGCTGGCAAGTGTCCGAGGCCGCCCCAGGTCAGACACCCATCACAGGATTCCAGTTCTCCTGGGTCAAAGTCTCCAGCAGTGGTGTGAATGAATCTACAGACACACTCATCTCTCAAATGCTGAATTTGGCACCTGTAAGTTAGTGTACATTCATTCTCCTCTGAATGCTTTTAAAAGAGTAAATGAGCAGACTGTCACTGTTTAAATTATGAGGATAATGATAGAAAGGGCACAGAAGACTGATAGCAAATTCAATCATGAATGGAGATTAAAATAAGACGTATTTTCCTGGCTTAGTTAGATGTTAGTAGGTCCCTAATAAATCTGTATTGTTACTTGTTGAATAACACATAATACATCTGCAATAATCATTGCTGCTTAAGGCACATTTTTTCTTGTTTTCTGGAGGGCCTGGAGGAACTAAATATCATTCTTCTGTCAGCACATGGCTGTGGTGAGAAGGAATGTCTTTGACTAGTGATTGACTATTGCTTTTTTCTCTGTTATAGAGTCAGCTCTCACTCAGAGTCGAGCAGCTGCAGCCAGAGAGTGTGTATAAGGTGCAGGTCCAGGTGCTGTCTGAAGCAGGCAGTGGTTCTTCAGTAGTCAGAACGCTACGTACTCCACAGCTTAATGGCACACCACATTGAGGTACAGCATCTCCACCCTCTCACCCCAGACAGAGTTAATCAGCCAAGACATGTTTGGTGTCTGAAGCTTAGTTCTTTGCTTTTGCAGTGCAGCCACAATCTAATGTAGTAGATGTCTATGTCATTCAGAAAACTTTGGGTGACAGAAGTACCATTTGGATGGCATAAGTTTTACAGTGGGGAGGTGGGGAAATGAAATTGTACCACAGGACTGCTGCAATGTTTATGACTGATTTGCACTGGATAAGAAATCTCATTACAGAGATAGGACGGGCTGCTTGGTTTATGCATTGCTGCCACACCAAATAGTTCTATATGTGATACGTTATGCTGCTCACAAGTAGAAAGCATGTCCATCTTATTAGTTGTTTTAGGGTAATGCAGTGCCATTAATGATACAATGTGTTATTGTCATCAGATTTGGAATTTACAGCCAACAGTGAACATCACCTTACAAAATCAACTTTTTTGTTTTAATGTTCAGAGTCGTATGCTTGAGGTATGATAATGCATGTCAACTTGATTTGGGCCACAGAGAACATGAACATGGAAATTCTTTTTTCCACTGGATATGATGGAATATTTACCAACATGGCAATTGACACATGATTAATGAACCCTGAGGTTATTTCTACTGTTTGTTTAATAGAAGGTAAAAGCCATCAGAATCTTTACTGACATAGAAGCGCACAATCTGCAAAAATTACTGACATGGCAGATTTGGACGGGACTCAAATCACTGAGAAATACTGGTTATAATTTTGTAAAACTAATCTCATTCGAGTAGTACTACAGACTTCCATTATCTTTTAGCTACATTAGCCTCATAGCCCTTGTCCAAAACTGAAGAAGAAAACTTTGGACACCAAAACACATCTTGGCTGATCTCTTTGTTTGGGGAATGGGGAAACCTATGCAAATTAGATTTTTTGGTGGATAGTTCCTTCAAGTACATGAGGCAGGGTTTAGATTGATGTAAAATCCACAGCTCTTTCCACTACTTAACAGTTCTCACCCACTATAACTAAGGCCTCACCTCCATCACAACAACAGTAACTACACTAAAGCCATGTGAATATCAAAACCATAAGGGCACAGAATCACGTTTTAGCTCTGTACAGGTCGGGCGCTAGCAGGAAAGTCACATCCAGATGGCAGAAAAGTCTTTAATTTTAATTGCTGCCAAAGTTACATTAGAATTATTTACATCAGCAATAATAGCACTTTGATCTGAGCCCAAGCTATTCTTTTAACACTCTGTTCAAACTGTGAAGGTGTAGATGGAGTCTAAATGATTAAATGGTGGAAAAAGCTGGAAAACAAGTGATGGAAGTGAACGTCCTTAGAGGAAAACTCAAAGCATGTGAATGCCATTAGCATGATTATGATGAATAACATAACTTCAAAGCCCATGTTGAGCTCACACCAGTGGTGGAACCTCAGCTTCCAAATGCAGCAGAAGGTTGCCATTCAGTTTTGCCATTCACTCAAGTTGTAGGCCAGATATGAAGGCATTAAACTGCTGATCTTATAGAATAATAAATATACTGTACACATTTGTGAAACTGGAGGTCTTTATTCCTTTTAGTCACATACCCAAATGTCCACTGGCTGCTTTCTTGCACTGTTGACATTTCTTGCACTGGTGTTTCCTAGAATATTGTTCTGTTGTTTGCTAATACTAACTTCTAATTGCAGACTCTTGTACAGTTCGGAGCATCATCAAGAAGTTTCTCCTTGTTCTGATATCTCTCCACTCCATGCCAACATGCATTTCATCTGCTGGTGTTGCATGATAAGAACACTGTGTAAAATTTTAAATATGAACCAACAGCATCATGAAAATGTCATGTTCTGTAAGTTAATTGTTCAGAGATGTTTGAAACATATAATTTAATCCTACTTTAACATGTAAAAATGTGTAGCACTGATGTATGCAGTATGTAGTTATAGCTTTGTATTGTTTATTTTCTTATCCTGTTAAATGTATTGCTATAAATACTTGTCCTGTATCTCTGAATCCGGAACATTTTGAGCTGTGCGAGCATTGTTCTAAATTATTTTTCAGCTTTACATTTTACAGTCCACACACACACTTTAATCTTGAAATATTTATTGTGACCTGCTATAACCTGTAAGGCATCCATGATTCTGATGTCATTGTGGACTCTGGGCATATTTAGCTTAAGATCTACCACATTGTGCTCCATTCTCCCATGAACATAGAAAACATATTAGGCCTATATTGTCTTAAATACACTGTCTGAATTTATTATAATTAACTAAACTGCATAACAATGTAACACTGAAGCTGCATGTTTTTGAGACAGCAGAGTGAACCCATATTAGGTTCAAGCTGTATACACAAGCTAATTATGAATAATGACATGAGTAAAAAGTCTTTGGAAACAATATTGTGCAGCTTTTGAAACATGATTATGAAGGAAGACTTTCATCAATGCTTAAAGTGCCAGTTCAATGACAGCATTGTACCTACATTGCCAGACATATTCTATCACATTGTGGCAGTTTTACTTTGTACAAAAAATGTTACACTTTATGTAAATATTGCACTTGATGTTGTGTTACGTAGGGGTCATCAATGTTACAAAATAAATTTTAACGTCAATTCAATTTCTTATTGGCTATTGTGTTGAGTGGATTACACTGACCACACAAACTTTGATGGTTCATTTTTTCAACACATCCATAGCTATATCAAAGATTTACAGACCATCAGTTGGTGTTAATGAAATCATTATGAACACCTCCATGTGAAAAAACAGTTTTGTCATTTCATCCAGCATACTATAGACTGAGGGTTACACAAGTTTGCTTGCCCTGCATATTTTGATGATTTCCCTGCTCCCAACGCAGCTGATCCAACTAATTAGCTAATTAGCAAATCCTTACTGAGTTGATGTGTGTATATACTTAGACTTAAAGACTCCATGCACTCAAAAATGTTTTTTTAATGGTTAACTGGCATATTATGGTTATACAGACTGACAAATGAGTTTGAATCTATCATTGTTCATATACTAAAATATGCTAAAGACGGCATTACGGTGAGAGCCATGGGAGGCGGCATGAGGCCAGCTTCTGAGCCCTAAGCACTAAAGTACTGCCCATGTTAGCTCATTGAGAACGCCTAACAGCTGTACATACAACTACACAGGTTCATTGCGGCTCGGCTGAGGCAGATTTAGAAAATAAAGATGCAAATCTGATTGTATAAATCTGTGATTTGTGTGGAGCTGTTAGCTTAATCTACTTTTACTTCATATTCTGGTTAGCACCAGTAGCTAATGTTAGTGTAGCTAGAAAACTAATAATTCTGTCATTTACAATTTGCATAATCATGCATATTTATAGTTCTTAATGAGTGGTAATATTTAGGGATGCTCCTAAGCCATTTCAGTATTTTTTGGCATAACAATCATACATAAATATGTTTAACCAATTATTATTCAACATGGATGATTTTTTAATTTATGACTTCAAATGTACTAGACAGAGGTAGTCAAGCGCCAAGTAGATCATTTTGTTCCCTCTTTATATATATATAATGGCTAAAATTTTTTTTAGAAATTGTACAGTGAAATTTTGAAAAAGGCCATATTTTGGTTTGTGTCCCTAGAAAATCAAAAATTTGTAATTTGATCGGGGATATTCAAGCAGTGATTAGTAAATTCTGTTTAACCTGTAATAAATTGAAAATGGTACAACATACACAATATTTTATGTTTTACCTCATGAACGTCATTGTTTTTTTTTTTTTGGCATGAATATATGCTCATTTCAAATTTGGTGCCTGCAACACATTTCAAAAAAGCTGGGACAGTTACATCATCTTTCCTTTTAACAATGCTTTGTCGTAGTTCTATGGACTAAAGACACACACTGATCCAGTTTTGAAAGCAGATTTTTTGTCATTCTTCTATAACACAAGTCTTCAGCTGTACAACCATACAAATCCTTCATTGTTATGTTTTGAACATGTTTTTAATAGGAGACAGATCTGAACTGCAAGAAAGCTAGTCCAGCACCTAGTCCTTTTCTTCTTTGGCATAAAGAACACAACATCCAGTATTTCCATAAACAATCTGAAAGAGAATCTTCAGACCACAGTACACGTTTCAGAAGAGCTGAAGTACAGAAGAGCCATAGTACAGTCATAACTTGCATTTGTAGACATAATGACAGACAGTGTATATTGACAACTGTTTGAAAAGTATTCCTGAGCCCATGTGGTAATATCTGACACAGAAGCCTGTTGGCTTTTGATGCAGTGCTATCTGAAGGGTCCAAAGTTCAGTTGTGCTTTTCAACCTTGCTGTTTACACACCGAGATTTCTATGAATTCCCTGAATCTTTTGATGTTATTCTGTACCATAGAGGGTGAAATAACTAAAATGATTGTAATTGCTTGCTGAGGAACGTTATTTTTAACTTTTGCTTTGAATGACTCTATACCTTATGTGTATTTTGTTAAAACAAATGATTGAACATTTAATTTTATTATTAACAATCACAACACTACTGAAAATGTACCAAAATGTTTCTGTATTGACCATTTTAGCTAATTTCAAGCAGAAGTCAAAAACACTAGCCAGTACATGACTAGCAAACACAGCTTTGAACAGTTGTACAATCATGAAATCATAATATTTTTCATTAAAATACAAAAATGTTTACTTGAATGTTGAATATATGAGTTTTGGTGTCTTAAGTTTACTTCAAAATAAAAGGATCTGAAGGGATGTAGATTATTTTCCATAATCGAATTTGAATCTATTTAACAGAATATTTTTCTTAAGAATGTATTTCTTATGCTTAGAAATAATAGTTCTTTGGCTTTTGTGTCTCTGTGAGGCCTGTCACATGCTACTTGAGAAGGATGCTGTGACATTAAATAAGAACATGTTTATGCCCATCTCCAATCTATCCCATCAGACATGGCAATGGATTATGTTACAGGACTGGGTATTTTCATCATCGTATAACTGGGTAAGAGGAGACTATTTAGGAACTGTCAAGGCCTTGGGCCTGACTGAGAGTGATTCTTGCTGACATCATTAAGATGCGTATAAGGGGCTCTATCCTTGTTGACGGAATCTCACCAATGTCTCTATTTAGTTTTGTTTTGTGAGCCTGTTCAACTCTGCATTATAATAGTTTTGATTTGTAGCGATGAATCAGCAATTATATATGTAGAATGTTTCTAATTTACATATAATTTGCATTAAGGTATGATTGCTTTGAACAAGTCTGTGTTAGATGAGGATAACACCTGTGGGTGCTCTCACCCCACCACTTCTCTTCCCCCCCCCCTTCTTTCTCTATCTCTCTTGTTGCTATTAGTTTTAGCCTGCTGATTGTCTTTAAGCTTTTGTCTTTAAGCTTTTGCATGTGACGTGTTTGTGTAAATGTGATAACCTGTTAAAATAATTTTTCTTTTTAGTTTCTTTCCATTCTTTTTATTTTTCCCATTTTATTGTTCCAGTAATTCTGTAAAACATTTTTCTGATTAAATTTTATAATCTGTCTTACTTTTAAAAATCAGAGCGTGTTCTCTACTTTTTAGGTTTTGGAGAATGTCGCCACACAGAAATTATGAATGAGTGGTTTTCATACATGCTGTGGTAAATTACCCAACAGATCTAACTGCTCACACCATGTGGCCATGAGGGACAGGGATGCAGTCTCATTTCCTGCTCTAAAATGCAGGGGTGTGGCTAAAATAAGGCTCTGCCTATGGACTAAAACTCTGTGTTTATGTAGCACATGAAATATGGGACAGCATTTTTTGAAGTTTTTAGTTAGAAATTAAAATGATAAAAATGATAAATCTTAATATTTAAAAAAAAAAAAGTTGAAAGAAATACAAAAAAACTTTAAAGTTTTTTTTTCTCAAGTTGGCTTAGTACGAAAGTCCTTAAGGACCATGAATTTACATGTTGTTTTACTTGTTTTTCCATGATAATGGGTTTGGGACAGCCACCTCCCAACAGAAGTACCCTATGATGATTTTGTATGTTTTCAGATTTTTACTGTTTAAATTAATGCCTTAGGTTTAAATAGATTAAAGCATAATTCTTAAAAATATCTAAGGTCTGATTTATTTATTTATTTATTTATTTATTTAAACTGTGGGACCCAAGTTTGAACTAGTTTAGTAGAATGGTCCATATAGGTGGTTTAAATGTAAATATAGTCAGCGGGGCACAGTGTGGAATGGGGTGGGACATAGAGTGGGTCAGAAGGTGAGACTGGTTGGAACAGAGTGGAACAGTAATGTTTAAAAACACATTGTACATTAGTTTAGCTCTTTAGCCTTGTTTCATTCTTGAAAAGCATTGTGGTCAATGTCTACAGTTCTACAATCTTCAAACAGAGATATTCAAAATGTTAAGCATTTAATCATCAGGGTTCCCATTGGGCTAATTCATCCTTATGGTAATGTTACCTCTCTCTTACAGTCCGATCCATAATTATAGGCACCCTTCACACAGTGTTGGGTAATTTACTACAGCATATTTTATTTTGGGAGAAAATCTATATCCCTTCAAAGGTCTTTGTGAACCTGTAAATGTAAGTAAATTTAGTCTAGAAAACAAAAAGTGTGTTGACTTTTATGAATTAGACAATGGCTATATAAAAACAGCTAGATTCCTGAAAACGAACAATATCCACTGTCAATGATGAATTAGTTTAAAACAATCAGCACTTTAGTGCTGCAGTGAATCTGCCTGGGAAAGGGCACAAGTGTACTTTGCCCATATGCACTGTGAGTAGGATGGTTAGAGAGGCAAAAGATCACAGTTGGACAGCTGTTAAGATGGTTTTGGGGTCACCAATTCTCCAAAGCTACAATTAGACACCCCTTACATGCCAACAGTGTGGTCAGAAGGTGTGCTTTATGTAACCACAAACATAAGTGCCTGGAGTTTGCTAGATATACTAGAACTTTGGGAAAAAACGGTATCTATGATCAGATGAGACAAAAATCAAAGTGAGTTTGGCGTAAAAAGGATGGTTATACATAAAAGAACCTTATGTCCATTGTTAAGTATGGTGGAGGATTGGAACTATTTTTCGTCCAAATGCCCTGGGAACCTCGTCAGGATACCGGACATCATGAAGTACCAGGACATTTTAAACAAAAATCTGTCCGTCTCTGCCAACAATCCAACAGATCCAAATGATTCGGTGACCAAAGAATTGAACTTCTGACATGGCCATCCCAGTCCTGTGACCTAACCCCATTAAAAACCTTTGGAGTGAGTCCAAAAAAGAGGACTTTGGACCCTGAAAGATCTGGAGAAATTCTGTAATAAAGAGCTGTAAATATTTGTTTTGAGTTGCATTTGTATAAAAAAAAAAAGAAAAACAAATAAAACATTTTCCTTTTCTGCCACTGTCATCTTCGACCTGAACATTAGACGTCTTAATCCGGATTTTAGTAGAGCTACTTTGTGATATCATGTTTCAAAAAAAAAGCGTTACATAAATCTAATTGAACAATTAGTCTACATCGTCTACAGACCAACCGCTAAAGAGAAAAGGACAATGTGCCCTGTTCAAATGACATAATAAGCACAGGCTAGTATAGATTAATTAAACATACTCTGTCTATTTAAATGTGTAACAGCAAAGTTCTGTCACAGCTGTAAAACTGACTTTGAACACCGATGAGTGTCCACAGCTCCCCTATTCACTAGAGGGCGATTTTAACAGCAGGAGACGCCAACAACTGGATGGTCCAAGTGACGCAAACATCAAGCGACCGAATCTCTTTGCAGCCGCAACGATGGGAAACCGTGTTATAAATATAAAGAAAAATGTTCAATAGGTTTGGTTCCGATGTGATTGGATTGCCTTAAGAGTCTTTTATGTGCACGCTGTGCTCATATGTACGTCCACGAATGCAAACTTCAAGTTACTGGATATATACTTTGCAATTGCAGTTCCACTTGAAAACTCGGTAACGTTAGCTAGCTGTCGATATAACCTCAGTTTGGTCAGTTAGCTAGCTGGCTAACTTGCAAGCAAGGTATGTTTTGAACTTCATACACTATGCAGTTTACTTATTTGTTCCCTCGTTGCATGCATAAGATTAGCCCTTTTAGCTTATCGACAACGCAGTTAGCTAGCTAGCTCAGTCATGTGGCTACTGTGAGAAACAAAACTACTCAACGTTTATTCGTCTTGGCTATTTATGTAGCCTCCTCAGTTGTAAACATTGCTGGGAGACACCATTCAGTATCGAGAGGTAGAGTCTTACGAGCCAGTTCAGCTTCAAGTGCTGCTCTCCTTAGCTGCCGTGGGTTGTTGGTGTTAAGAAGGAGCTACAGCTGTAATTGTATTTAAATGTAGAGTGAAAAGTAGCTATCCCTTTGTTAGCTTAAAACGTCTTCCAGGTGTTCAGTGTTGTCCTCAGTGCTCGAAATGGTACCCCTTTGGTTGCATTTTAAAAAGTTATTTTTCTGTAGCTTTTGGTGTTTTAGGAATTGCATTGAAATAATCAGTTAACGTTACTTAATTCAAATGATAGAAGGGAAATGTATAAGGGAAATATAATCCAGTCAAGCCATAACGACTGTTGGGCAGCCAAATTACAGAGGCCTTTAAAAAACTACTTTAATGGGGTTTCTGCGTTTTTGTACACTTAATCTAGCTACAGATGTCTGTGGATACAGAACTTTTTTAAAAAAGTTCCCACTGTCTCTGAGAGTTTGATGAAGCTAAGGTAAAAAGAATAAATCAGATCAGTGTGATTTCTTCCTCAAAAATGCAAGTGTGGCTGTGCATTTTATATTTTGTCATCAAAGCTGTCTAAATTGGCGCTTTATTTTGTTTAGATGGGCCTTTTATTTTCTTTACACCTTTAAGAAACAGGGTTTCCATTATTTTGAATGAATATAATTTGCATTGAGAGAGTTCTGTGGATTAGTGCACATCATTATGTACTTCATGGTAAGCTAATTCCCCATGTGTCTTTGTAATGGCTTGGCTGTGACCAGCTGTGTAACAGGTTAAGTGTAATAGACTAATGAACAAAAACACAGGAATCTGCATCATTTACACAAAAACTATCACTGTTTATCTCTTTGTTTTGTTGCCAGGTCCATTCATTGAGTTGAATGTAGGAGTTACTGGTCAGTCTTATAGAAGCAGAAGATCAAGTACCTCTGGCAAAAGTCTTGTAACTTCGTCTTACCTATCTACTTCAAGCTTGAGGTCCATATTGGAGGAGGCCAATGGTAGAGACCTGCTAAAACCTGCAGGCAAGGGCAGATTGAGGCCCAAGGAGGAATGGGTAAGGCTGGATATGAGGGTCCAAGTTCATAACAGCTCCGACCAGGCAAAGTCGGCTCCTGAGATGTCAGAGAATGGCCGCTCACGGAGGAAACGCGTGCCCAAATTGTGTGACTGCTGTGGGCCAAACAGCAAACCCCACGCACTGGGCCATGACCAGGTCACAAAGAAACGGGGTCGGAAGAAGAAAGAGATTGCAAGTGAAGTGGGAGTAGCAGCTGAAAACCAGATCATTTCTAATGCAGTAGATTTGGTTTCAGTGGCAGAGGCAGATGCAATGACTGTGTGTGAGATGCAACCAGTAACATGTCCTGAAACATCCACAGCACTGTGTGGAAATCAAATTGTGGCTCTGGTCAGTGACTTATCTGTTCTGCACAATGGCATTATACCTAGTCAAGAGGACAGTCCGGAAACAAACAGGAAAGGCAAAGATACTAATTTCACTTCACTCACTGACTCCAAAGAGCCCACTTCTATCACACACACTCATCCAACACAAGACTGTTCGGACACAAACAGTGATCCTCTACAGGCTAACCCTGCAACACCTCTTGACTGTATACATGTTGGTCCAACAGTGCACAGTGACTGCACAGAAAAATCTGCAGGCCCTGTTGTACAGAGCAATAGCATGGACTCGGATCAGATAGCAGAAACTGATGCCATGGAAGTTGAACATCCTGTTTCTGCCGTTTACCTAAATGTCAAGGCTTTAAGGGACCACCGCTACTGCAAGCGCCCTGCAGACTGTGCAGAAGAAGAGCCACTAGATGTTTCTCAGCCACCTTCAACAGAAATCCAGAATGAAGAAATTGTAGAACTCATTCATGGTATGGCCTGGTTGATCCCTGTGGTACTTGATGATGTGGCTGTTTTCTAAATGTGCCATTTTATTTTTCCAGAATTCCTTGAGCATTTCTATGAGAAGTATGGGAGCTTCATTCCACTGTGCGAGGAGGACATTCTTGAGTACCTGAACAAACACTTAAATGCTGACTTAAAGGACAGGCATGTTCATTTTCATCTTACACAAGCAAATTGTCCATTAAAAAAAAATACTGTTCAGTCGCTTACCTCCCAGTATTCTTCCTCATACAGAAAGAAAATGATACACACAGAAGTGATGAAGTACAAGGCTGGCTTGGCTTGTGCTCCTATGCACTTTTTCAAAGTGACCTATAACAAACACACTCTGGCGCTTGATGACCTTTCAACACTTGATGACCAAAACTGGGTCAATGACCAGGTGGGCTATAAAAATGTGCACTTAGAACTTATTGTCTAAGAAATGTTAAACTAATGTATATGTCTGTCATTTTTACAGGTCATAAACATGTATGGTGAATTAATTATGGAAGCTACAAACCAGAAGGTATAATGCATGAATGGTGGAGGATGTTGTTATATCAAATTTTTCTGATATCAGTTTGGTTTTGTTAGATTTTAGTTGAAACAGATTTGTTAATTACACCAGAACTGTTAACTGTTTTTTTTTTTGTTTTGTTTTAGGTACATTTCTTCAACAGTTTCTTTTATAGACAGCTTGTAGGAAAAGGCTATGAAGGAGTGAAGAGGTGGACCAAAAAGGTAAATCATTAGCAGACAGTGTCTTATAGGAGATTATCGCAAGTGCACCTTGTTAACTGTAATTAGAAACCAGGGTTATGAAATTGCATTGCCTTCCCTGTTTTCATCCTTTCTGATGGTGTATAGGTGGATTTGTTCTCTAAGAGATTGCTGCTGATTCCCCTCCACTTGGAGATCCACTGGTCCTTGATAACAGTGGACATCTCCAAGCAAAACATAAACTTCTATGACTCCCAAGGAATATTGTTCAAGTTTGCGGTTGATGTAAGTTTAAGACTGATGCAACTTGGTTGGTTTTTGTGCTCCCTGCCTTATGATTGTATTCAAAGCTATACTTTTCAACAGAACATTGAGAAATACATGTTAGCGGAGGCAAAGGAAAAGAAGCATGCTAATTTCCAAAAAGGCTGGAAGATGACTGTCAACAAGGTTTGTCTAGTCTAGTTTCATTCTTGGTTGAATCTGTGACCTGAAGATCACATTTAAAGATATACAAATTATGTGCTGTCAACTATTGATTATCTCCACTTATTGAGATTAAAGTTGTCAATTAGACAGTAAATCATTTATTATTGCCCTTCTTTCTTAGACTATCCCGCAGCAAAAGAATGATAATGACTGTGGAGCTTTTGTCTTGGAGGTAAGGCATACATTTGAGTATTATCAGTATATATAGTATATACAGAGACTTTCAGGAAATGTGATCATGACCGTTGTTTTCCCCATAGTTATTCACATGATGTTCCCATGACTGAAGACTTATTTCTGTTTTTCCCTGTGTAGTACTGCAAGTGCCTGGCATTTAAACAACCATTGCTGTTCACACAAGAGGACATTCCTAAAGTACGCAAAAGGATATACAAGGAGCTCTGTGACTGCAAGCTCACTGACTTAAAAAAGCAAGTCTAAGCTTAAAGACGTTCTTTGCTCATTTGCTTGTGAACGGACTTCTTGTTTTTTTTGTGGGAACAGTGGGGGAGGTCCTACACACGTTCATATACCTGGATATAACTCGTAGTTCAGTATTTTGGATGGGAAACTTGACGAGATGCCAAACCATCAGCCTTTCCAACCATTCCCATTTTTATATTGAAGGTTCAGCAACTGAAAAGGCCTATCATTGCTCACAGATTTTGGGGTGCTGGCTATTGAAAGCAATGACTTGTGGCAACCCTGAGAACAGACATCGTTATTTGTCTTTGTTTTGTCTTCTTGAGAATCAAGCCTCTGCAGCTTGTTAGATGGTTTTAGCCATATCGCAAACTTTGTGGTTATATCAGGTTTCTTTTCAACAAGTATGCACTCAGTGCTCCACAGCATGTTACTTGAAGGATCTACATTGTATAGTTTTGACTGCATTTTGGATGTGGTGCAAACAAGCATTTAACAAAGACAAGCTTTTAAATGAATGTACTGTTAATGAAGAACTCGCTTCTTTAACAGAACTTAACGTAAAAACAGGTATCTCTACATCAGTTTGTTTCCAATAGTATCAGACTTACCATAGGATCTAGACTCTTAAACCCTACCCTTGGAACTGTTTGGGCCATATAGTTTTTATCTCTGTATTCTTTAATAGAAGCACTCTAGACACTTTTTTTAATCTTTTGATTTTGAAATGCAATGACGTGACAGTTTCTATAGCATGTAGCTTTATTACGAGTTCCGTTCCAAATTCCATAAAGTATTTTAAGGTCATGTCTAAACATGGTGGCTATGATTTTTTTTGTTTTCTTTTTAAAACTGATAGCAGTAAATTTGATTGGCTAAAGCTATTTTACCACTTGAGCAGATTAAATCAATGGTAAAACATACATGCTTAAAAGCAGTGAGACAAAACAGCTTGTGTTAAGGTTGGTGCAGACCATGTTTCTAAGAATTATGACAAGAGCTGTCATAATAGCCTTATGTTTATCTTATGAAACAAGGCTTTATATTGTGGAGCTGGGGCAGTAAGGTGCAGTTGGTTTTTCAGAACATTGCCAGCTCATTGTGTCCATTTACAGTGACCACCTGAGAGGCTAATGAGTTTAGAGCAAATATAAAGGATGTGAGATGTCACAAAGGTATGTGGGATACTGTATTTATAGTTACTTGAAGTGTAACAACAAGATGACCTCAGTGAGATGCTTCAGTTTCCTTCTGTTTGACTACTATTTTTGTCATTATTTAAACAACCACATAAAACCATTATTGATGACGTGTTATGCATTCTAACTCTCATTTCCAACAATGGCAGTGTACTGACGAGTGGAGTATACTTCTCCTTACAGACAGCCCAATACCTTTTCCCCTGACAAAATGCACTATAAAATATCATCTGCTATGAAAATCAGCTAATTATGCAGTCATGCCATCATTTCTTTAGATCTCAAGTTAAACTTTGAATACAACTCTTGTCTATTGTTGACAAGACATGGCCATACAGCTGAACCACTGCCTGCAAAAAAGTCTTTACTGCAAAGATTCAGCAAGTTATTCATTTTTAGGGTGTGCCATGAGAAATTATGTTAGAGAACATGATGACTCGTCAGGTAAAACACCTTGATGTTTATTGGAAAAAATAAACAAACTCAATAGATGAAACCTTTGACCAGACTCTCCAAACTGCAGGCACAGATGTTTCCCAAGGGCAACTTCCGTACACAGTGTAACTCAAAAGGAATTACTTAAAATGTACATTGTCATTAAAAAAAAAAAACTGCTCAGTATGTCCCTGTGAAGAATCCCATCACTAAAATTTGTGCTGTCCTTCTGATGTCCTTTGTAGCTGTGCCAATTTCCCATATCCACCTCGGGCGGGATCATAATCTTGTCTATATTCATCTCGAACCTGGAAAAAACAAACAGCACTGTGCATTTTCAAGAGTGAGCCAACTTCCCATAGCCCCCACAGAATCACACACTGACTGTATGTATCCCCAACATGAAGACATTCAGAGACAGCAGACATGCAAATCGTAATTATAAAAGTATACCTCTGTCAGTTTAACTAAACAAATGCAATGCTAGTAAAAATGAAAAGACTTAATTACATTCTTACCTGACCACCAGATTTGCCACGGCCATACTGTCGTCCCTCTTTGAAGCCAGCATCCCAATCTGTTCTAATAATCCTATCGTCCAGTCTCGTTCCATTAACAAATCTCATTGCGTGTTCTGCATCTGCTCGTGTGTAGTACCTTGCAGTTATATTAAGGATTATAATTAACTGAACTAGATGTAACCCATAACTCAGGAATTAAAAGGTTGTGCAATCCTTGTAGCTACATGTTCTGTGAGAACTTCATTCCACCACAATGTTCTTGCAAAGACATTTCTAATACCAACTTTAAGTAGGAATAATCTCAGTGGGTGCATAAAACTATTTTCCTCACTTCTTTCCGGTTATGATTTGTAAATCATTGAACTAAGTGATCAGATCACACAGCACAAATGTTATATCATGGGGGTCAGTGCACCCTTCAGAGCCCACTGCAATTTTATAGAGAAATTTTAAACAGTTTTCATGTGGAAAAGTTGGGGAATAGATCTCAAAGGCAAAGTTTATTAATCTTGCTATTGGGGCCCACTGCCTTGGTTAGTTTGATTTATTCCCAGTCTCAACACATTCAGTCCATCTAACGGAGAGCTTCATAATAAGTTAATGACATGGATCAGGTGTGTTAAGGCAGTGAATAGTTGAAAATGTGGCTGAATTTGAAATGGCACGTAACCACCCTACACAGTGCAATATGTGGATCTTAAAATAAAGGGCCCTAACCCAAACAATGCATGTGTCTTAAAGAGCCATTCTGGATTCAGCCATGTGTGCATAATTCTCTGCTGGACATCTAGTTCATAATTTTGGATGTAGAAGCCAATATTTCACAGCCAACAGTGCAATATAGGGAGTAGAGTTTCCATTTGAGATTCAGCATGTGGTCGGTGTAGGGGCTCCCACTGACAGGATTATGGGATGCAGCACATAAACACTCAAACACTGCTTTGAAGGGACGTAAAGCTACCGAGTGTACGTTCAATTGTGGTTTTGGACAGTAAATAAAGTAACTGTGCGCGGTAGACAGGCCACCACTGTGAAAAAAAAAATGTTTGCATGCCCTCGACAACTATTTCACATTAAACCCCTCTGAATGACTTATTTACATCTTAATCATGGAATTATGCAGACCTTCTGAAAAATTGGTGGAATTCCCCTTTAAGGGGTTGTGCGCTGAAGCTTCCAAACACTTCTCCACTGTATTGGCTCTTCTACCTAATGCTAAGAAAACAGCCATCAGTCTGTTATGTGGAATCCTGATTTCTCAGCTCAATATCTTTTTAAAGGCGTTAGGGGAAACGACCACTGACCAGGGACAAGCGTGTTTAAGTCAACTCGTTACTACAACATCCCTGAATTCAATGTAGAAGGATACTCCACGAAACAAAAGCCACACGCTGTTTTCTTGACCTTGTCGAGGCCAATGATGATTCTTTTGACATCGCCACATTTGGAGAACAGCTCATACACTTGTTCCTCTGTTGTGTAGAATGAAAGATTTCCGACGTAAAGCGTACAGCTTTGTTTTAGCAGCTTTTCTTGCTCATACCGATTCCCCTAAAAAAATAAAAGACACCAGAAATTATATTTTTAATGAATACGAATTTCAACTGCTAAACAATGCCTGATAAATATGCATGACCTGCTACCGCTAAGCATATCTAAAAGGGTCTCTCTAGTCATCGCTATCAAGCTTGGTGTAAATTTTTGTCTCGCTTGTTAATAGTACTTATTTTACTTGGCGACTTATCACGGTGTGGAATCACATCAAATGCTTAGATTTCCTATATTGTAAGAAGCACCAACACAAAAACTCAGGATAGCATACACTCAAGTCTAACATGCTCGTTAACCTAGCTACCTGAAGGTCCACAGTTTGCTAACAATTTCTCACGTAAAAATAAAACGATTTCCTAATACTTACCTTGAAATGCTGGTCTCTATATTGACTTATATCTATATATGAGTCGCTGAAAAGAGCGTTTAATTTAATAGACATACTGAGCGAGCAGATTAGTGACCAAATCCAAACAACAAACAAATGCTAACTAGCAAACAGTAATCAGCAGAATGGCTGCTTCTTCTTCGTTTGAATCTGCAGCTGATACCAAATGGCCTATATTACCAACACTGCCACCGCTGGCGCGACGGCTGCAGCTGCATACTGAGCTTATGTGGGCTTTTATTTTGAAAGTATACACATATTTAGATAATTTTCAGAGCTTGAGTAAATTTAGTCTTAGAACATTCTTCTTAGAAAATCGACCTAGTATGGGATAAAACATAGGGGGTGGGAGCGAACAGATGTGAAGGAGATTTGTAGATGTAGTATGGAGGCTTTTGTTACTTTTTTGTGTTTACTCGTGTGCGCCCTCTGTCAAGGCTGTTCGAGTCGGCTTCGGATTCTCGCACGTCTCCGGTATTCCTCATCCTAAATGGGGTGTTAGCAGCCGTGTAAAGCCGGCTCGTTGATGACAATATAATAGTTACATTGATGTGGATACATTTTTGTAGTTTTTTTCATCGACATTCCAAGAAATGTGCAACTAATTTGTCGAGAAATTCCATTTTTTGGTGGAGGTCGTTTGCTGTCAGGGCTGTGAGGGCTGCGGCAGTCACGAACACGTCCGTCTAGCCAGTGAGGGGAACTGTTCGGATAAACCATCTGTTAACACTGTCACAGCCTTGTTTTCTTCCCCTGCAAAGAGGAAAACCCTGATATTTTATCTAGCATAAAATATTTCCGTTACAGAAATGGCAACCGCATGATTGGACCAGAGCAGATTAAAGATGCGGAGCCGAAGCAATTCCGGAGTGAGGTTGGATGCGTTCGCTAGGCTTGTCCAAGAGACAATCCTGTGCCATCAGGTCAGTTTAAGCAGGCTTTAAGCTCATTTATAGCGGACCTCGATGTAGTATGATTAAACTAAGGGGTCTGAACAGAGCAGGTTAAATGTCAGTAAGTAATGGTTATCACTGTCCAACGCTAGCATGAAAACAGAGAAGTCACCAACTGGGGGGATTCTGATAGCATTGACCTAAAAATAAACAAAGCTCGAACAAAGGTCACCTTTAAATAGTAAAGGGCTAAGAAAACATTTACATTATCTGCGCCTCTGAAATTCCTTGAGAAGCTGTTTGTGTCACACAGCTTAGGCCCTGTTTCAGACAGTGTTGCTCAAAATATAAATTATTTAAAGATCCTTGAAGAAAAGTTAATGTGTTTCTGTGGATCTGATGTTTCAGCAATGCTTCTGGACACCTTGCCCTATTTTCCTACCTAAATTAACATCTAACGCAGCAGGGTTGGATAAACCTTGTCTGTGCAGACTGTCATGTATTGATTATTGGCTATGAAAGAGAAACTGAGATGCAGAACATATTTCTATTGTGCATGAAAATCATTATTAATTGATTTTAGGAATCCATGTTATTTTACACTTTTTATAATGTTGAACTTTGCCTCCATAACATCACATTTTCAGAAGTAATCTGGTTCAGTTCATATTTTCTGCTTTCTACTTACTGTATCTTAGTCAATCAATAGTGACCACTCCTTGTCTGTGCTCTGCAGAATCCAGTGACTGGTCTCCTGCCTGCCAGTGAACAGCAGAAAGATGCCTGGGTCAGGGACAATGTTTACAGCATTCTGGCAGTGTGGGGCCTTGGAATGGCTTATCGCAAGAATGCCGACCGTGATGAGGACAAGGCCAAGGCCTACGAGCTCGAGCAGGTCTTTAAATTTGTCACATGGCCTGTCATTGAGCTGCAGTGTACTTTGAAGGGTACAGTGGAGTGCACTGCAGTTCAGTGAAATATTCAGATGTAAAAATATCGGTGACACAAATACCTTACTGCATATTTCCTGCCCTCCCACAATATTGCATATTAAATGTGCTTGGACATTTCACAGAGCGTGGTCAAGCTGATGCAAGGATTGCTGCAGTGTATGATGAGACAGGTAAAGTTAACCAATCCTATTCTTGTCATTAAGGGATCTGTAAGTGATTGCTGTTGTGGTGACTACACAATTTTGCTACAGTATATTGTGCCCTAGAGTTGTTTTTATGCTTTGTTTGAGCACATATGCATGGAACTGCACGTACTTGTCTATGTGAAGCTGGCTGAGCATGTGTATGTTGCTACAGGTGGCAAAGGTGGAGAAGTTCAAACACACGCAGAGCACCAAGGACTGCCTGCATGCCAAGTACCACACTCCCACCTGTGCCACTGTGGTAGGGGATGACCAATGGGGTCACTTGCAGGTAGACGCCACCTCACTGTACCTGCTGATGCTGGCGCAGATGACGGCATCAGGTGAGCAGAGGCCTGTACGTGTGGTGGTTAAAGATGTACGTATATGTGTATTTATTACTTATTTTTATAGAGAACAAAATCTACAAATCAACTGTGATTTGAAAATCGACTGTAAATGTAGAACATTCATATTTTCCATAATAAAAGGATCAACAGCCTGGATCATCAAAAGCATCTAGGCTGGTTTAGCCTAGTTGTTACAAATCACAGTAAAGGGTGAGCAATATAATGATAACATTTTAGTTTTATCATGTTAAATTACATCACAATATGCTTTTCTGTGTATATTTTCACTTTTGTCTGTACTTTAAGAACACAACTGCATGTATCGTAAAAAGACATACTAGTTATTGAGAGTCTTTAAACAATTACAATTGTATAATGACTGTGTAGCAGCAAGCAGCTAATAGGATGTTATCTTATTATTACACTATTACATATTATAACATATCATATTTTACTAATTTATTTATCTTCTTTTTAAAATATGGCACTACAGTTTTGCCATTTTGGCATTTTGTCTGGTCCAGTGTATTCAAGTATCTCCGAACCTTAGTTACAAGCCCATTTCCAAAAAGTTGGGACGCTGTGCAGAATATAAATAAAAATAGAATGCAATGATATGCAAGTCATGTAAACCATATTTTTAAAGGAAGATACTACAAAGACAACATATCAAATGTTGAAACTGAGAAATTTTATTGTTTTTTGAAAAGTAAATGGCAATTTTGAATTTGATGCCAACAGCACGTTCCAAACAAGTTGGAACAGGGGCATGTTTACCACTGTGTTTCATCACCTCTTCTTTTAACAACACTCTGTAAGCATTTGGGAACTGATGAGACCAATTGCTGTAGTTTTGAAAGAAATGTTTTCCCATTCTTCTTTGATAGAGGATTTCAGCTGCTCACCAGCTCACTCACAAGTCTCCTTTGTCATATTTTCCATTTCATAATGTGCCAAATGTTATCAGTGGTGACAGGTCTGGACTGCAGGCTGGTCAGTTCAGCACTTGGACTTGTTTAATATGGAGCCATGATGTTGTAATACATGCAGAGTGCGGATTGGCATTGTCTTGCTGAAATAAGCAAGGCCTTCCCTAAAAACATGTCGTCTGGATGGCAGCATATGTTGCCAAAACATGTATATATCACTCAGCATTAATGGTGCCTTCACAGATGTGCATGTCACCCATGCCATGTGCACTGATGCACCGCTATACCATCATGAATACTGGCCTTTGAACTGTGCACTGAAAGCAAGCTGAGTGGCCTTTAGCCCAAAGGACACAGCATCCATGATTTCCAAAAAGAATTTCAAATGTTGATTCGTCAGACCACAGGACACTTCCCCTCAGTCCATTTTAAATGAGCTTGGGTAGATCTCATACATTTTTAAAGACATACCAATTCTTTAAATGTGCTTGGACAAATCAAGAAGACAGGAGTGAGTGAGGATACACAAGTGCATCCTCTGCGGAAGTCTTTTTTGTTGTAGCATGTAGGCTTGTGGTACAATTTGTCCACCATAGCCTTGTGTAGTGACTCAATGATTACAGTTACAGTGGGATGGCACTGTGAAACGATTAAACTTTATTATAGGTCTGCGCATCATATCTAACCTGGATGAGGTGGCGTTCATTCAGAACCTGGTGTTCTACATTGAAGCTGCATATAAAGTTGCTGTAAGTAAGACCCTGAACATTGATTTCTGAGCACACTGTGCTTTTTCTTAACTTGGTAAAGAACCATATGCTTATTACTGTGTAGGATTATGGCATGTGGGAGAGAGGAGACAAGACTAACCAAGGAATCCCAGAGCTAAATGGGAGCTCTGTTGGAATGGCAAAGGTAGGAAGAGTGTAATTAAGATCTACTGATTTGCTTGCAATACACTTTACAAACATTGTGATGTACATAAGCAATTGGACAATAAAGGGACTGTTACATTGTGTGAACATTGCATTAAGGTTACATTAACTTATGTTAAGGAACTTTTTTTTTCTTCTTCTCTAAAGTTACCCCAGCTAAAGTTACGACAGCAGTGATATGCTCTTTCATATATTGTTAGGCTGCACTGGAGGCCATTGATGAGCTTGATCTGTTTGGAGCTCATGGAGGCCCCAAATCAGTGATTCATGTTCTACCAGATGAAGTGGAGCATTGCCAGGTAATACACTGAAGATCTGGATAGATTCCAAACTTATTCCAAAGCACCATCATCTTTTGCCTTTAAGCAAACAAAAATGGGAAATAAACTGAAAAATGATAAAGTTAAAGGGAAAAGGCAAAGCTTCTGTTTTCATTTAGCAAACCTTTGCGCTTATTCCCATCCTACTTATAAATGGTCCTCTCTACATATGATTGCAGTCTATCTTGTGCTCTATGCTGCCTCGAGCCTCAACCTCTAAGGAGATTGATGCTGGTCTGCTCTCAGTCATCTCCTTCCCTGCTTTTGCAGTCGAGGATGCTGACCTGGTCAACATCACCAAGAGCGAGATCATCTCTAAACTGCAGGTACTGTGCAAGAATTGCTTTTGCATTCTATCTTTTACACCCTTCATTATATTAATGTTGGACATGTGTAAAAAGGTAGTCTTATGAGTCTGGCAAGCTAAAGGTCTAAGTCAACTTCCCTTTTCTGACAAGTTGATTGAGCCAAATTTAGGTGAAGGTAGTCAAAAATAAAGCTTCTTTGTATAAAGAACTGTATAAATCAACAAATTATAATAATTCCAGGGACGTTATGGGTGCTGCCGGTTTATCAGAGATGGGTACAGGACCCCGAAAGAGGTAAGTCTGTTTACTTATAGTGTAGGTTAGAGAAAAGTGCCGTACTTTAGCACACAGATAGGAGATAAGCGCTTTGTTTCAGAGAACGACAAGAGTGCTCTTAGGCGGAGTCAAACAGCACTGTAAAAATCAACATGGCCCACTTCCCTTTGATCTACTAAGCCACTATATAGATCATATTTTTTCATAGGTCATATTTTCGCACCTACCAACCATGTTTAACGCGCTGATTTCATGATTGTGACAGGACCCTTCTCGGCTTCATTATGACCCAGCAGAATTGAAACTGTTTGAGAATATTGAATGTGAATGGCCAGTGTTTTGGACTTACCTTATACTGGATGGCATTTTCAATGGGGATCCTGTACAGGTATACATATTATCCTTTGACTGCATTAATGCTTATTTATTGTTTATTTAACAGTTAGGCAGTAGAGTTCTTTAGCTTTCAGGGATGTGCACAATGGCCAGTTTCATCCACAAGTGGGCAGTATGTTATCACTGACATAAGTGTTACCATGCAGGTGCAGGAATACAGGGAGGCTCTGGAGGGCATCTTGATCCGAGGCAAGCATGGCATCAAACTAGTGCCTGAACTTTATGCCGTACCGGCTGACAAGGTGAGTGAGAATAACAGTTCTTTTTTGGAGTACCTTTGGTTACAGCTCTCAGTGTGGTTCAGTTCACTCTCTTATAACTGTTTGTGCATATGTAGTAATGATCCTGACCTTAACATGATTAAATGCGTTTGAGATTACTTGGATCGTGAGATTCAGAAAATGCAACAAACTACTAAGACTGAAACTGAAATCAAGTCTCCCAAAACAGAATTGAAGCTGTAATAAAGGTAAATGGTGAACCCACTAAACGCTGAAAAGTTTGCTCTTGTATTTAGTTGTTGTGGCTTTTGTAAAATTTTCTGTTAAATACATGATTTCTGCATTTTTTTCTGATGCTGAAAAATGAAATTGTACTTAATGGACGTTTTGACTGGAAATCAGTGTAAATGGTTCTTTTCCTGTGGAAAGTCCCAAAACAGATCACTGATCATTATACAAACTTTTCAGTCTTACATTACCCCTGTCCCAACTTTTTTATATTGTGTTACAGGCATCAAATTTGGCTTTAATTTGGCTAAAATGTATAAATTCAATTTGGCTAAAATGTATAAAGACGTTGATAAGATAAAATATTAAATATCAATCCTTTGTGCTGTTTTTAATTACGTACCTCTAAAAGACAGTGTACAAATCACTGCTTTTGGTTTTTATTTGCATTTTACCTATTTTTACAACTTTTCTGGAAGAGGGTTTGTACGCAATAAATAGATTTTTATAAAAAACAAGATAGGTGTTTCTAATAATGTGGACAGTGTATGTGTTTACCAGTGATAAACTAAACTGAACTGGTATAACTAAATCAGCATGCCCAAATCCTGCAACAGAATTAAGTCTGTGCAGCTCCATCCTTCGTGTATAATTACCAAACCAGTGCTAAAATACAATATAATTAACATGACAAAGGTAATATGAATGTTTTCCCTCATGCCTCAGCGGTATGGTTGTGTTTCAGGTTGAAGATGAGTACAGGAATCCCCACAGTGTGGAACGGGTGGCCACAGGCCAGCTCCCTCACATGTGGGGACAGTCTCTTTACATTCTGGGAAGCCTGCTAGCAGAGGTACAGTAGCTTAATCTAAACATTACTGTCAAACCTCAACCCCTTATTAAATGTGGATTTGTTCGTTCCTTTCCTCAGGGATTTCTTGCACCTGGCGAGATAGATCCTCTAAATAGAAGATTCTCCACAGGGTTCAAACCAGATGTTGTAGTCCAAGGTAAGTGAACATGTGGACAGAAAGCAAGTAGATAAACTAATTCAGTCAGAAAGCATGTTTGCTGTTTGTTGTTATCTTTAAGCTTGGAGCAGGTTTTACAAATTCATGTTTTTCTATTTAGTGAGTGTAGTAGCAGAGTCAAAAGAGATCCAGGGGCTGCTGAGGGATTATGGGGTAGATGTCCAGACTGTATCAGAAGTTCTGCCCATCCGTGTCATGCCGGCTCGTATCTTGAGTCACATCTACGTCAAGCTGGGTAAAGATTCATTACACTCACACACCTCCTCCTTGACCCATCTTCTATAAGCAAAGGATGTGATGTAACTAATTGAACATCTAAGGTATCATGCTCAAACCACTTGTTTCCGTTGTTTATTATTCATTGATTTGTGCAGGAAACTGCAAGAAGCTGAATTTGACTGGACGGCCATACCGGCATATTGGTGTTTTAGGGACCTCCAAGTTCTATGAGATCAGAAATCGTACCTACACCTTTACCCCACAGGTGTGGATTTTTATGCTGTTTAGCCTTATTAAACCCTCTAAGGCCAATGCACACACACACACACACACATCTTCTAAGCCGTTTATCCTTCTGGGTCGCAGGGGGAGCTGGAGCCTATCCCAGCAGTAAGGTCAATGCATATAATGCAATAAGTATACTCTTTCCCATTAACAGTATAGCTAAACATATGAGAACACCTGTTCATCACACCTATATGAACTTGTTAAACATTCCTTTCTAAAACCATGGACATTAATATAGCCCTCCCACCTGCAACTGTAACAGCCTCAGTGCTTCTGGGAAAGCTTTCCACAAGATTTTGGAATTGTGTCTGTGGGAATTTTTGCCCATTCCGTCAAAAGCGCATTGTGAGGTCATATTTGTCTAAAATGTGCAGCATTAATGTTACCCTTCACTAGTACTAAGGGGCATACCCCAAACCCTGAAAAAGAGCCCCAGACCATTATCCCTCCTCCACCAGACTTTTCTGTTGGCATTGTGCAGTTTTGTAGGTAGCATTCTCCTGGCATCTGCCAAACCCAAATTTTTCCAACAGACTGCCAGATAGTGAAGCATAATTCATCACTGAATATGTTTCTGCTATTCCAGAGTCCAGCAGGGGTGTGCTTTACATCACCTAGCCACTGCTTGGTATTGCACAATGTGATTCTAGGCTTGTGTGCAGCTGCTCAGCCATGGAAACCCATTTACTGAAACTTGTGATGCACAGTTCTTGTGCTGCTGTTGCTTACAGAGTTTGGAACTCTGTAGTGAGTGACACAACAGAAGATAGGGAATTTGTATGTGCTACATGCTTCAGCACTCAGTGACCCCGCTTGATGAGCTGTTTCTCATGAACACTTCCATTTCACAATGATAGCACTTACAGCTTATGTTTGTTTTATAGAGTGATAGAAAATGTGCTAGCACACAGAAAGCTCCAATTCCATATATTTGTACCTGTTTACTATGGCCAGCACGCATGCGAACCAACTACTCTGGGTGCATTATTGATTCTAAGAGAATGAAGTCTTCTGAATTAATTAATTTTTCTGAATGTATTTCAAGTTAGTTGACTTACTCGGGGAAGAGTAATTTGCAAGTTGTTTTTGGTTGTAATTGTTGTGATGTGATACTACAAGATTTGTAGACCATTTTTCATCCAGACATTAGGTTCCACCACCCAGCCTATTATAAAAAGCAAGAAGCAATAGTAGAAATACAGAGTAAAATCCATGATGCTTCCCTTTCTTCTCTGTAGTTCATTGATCAGCATCATTTCTACCTGGCCCTGGATAATCAAATGATTGTGGAGATGCTGAGGACTGAGCTGGCTTACCTCTCTTCCTGTTGGCGGATGACTGGCAGACCCACACTCACTTTTCCTATCACACGAAGCATGCTGGGTAACAGTAAAAACAACTGCTCATACATAATACACAGTAGCATACATAAAATATCTTAAGCAAAGCTATGAAATGAGAATGGATTAGGATTTCTGCTTTTTATTGGTATAGTGGACGATGGTGAAAGCATTGACCCTTGCATCCTGTCCACCCTACGAAAGCTTCAGGATGGCTATTTTGGTGGAGCAAGGTCAGAAACTACAGAAAACAGTGAATAGTAGTACAGAGTAGTAGTGAATATAGTTTAATGTTTTCAAGTGCTAATGCTTCACTAGTGCTTGATCTAAAATACTTAATGGTGTCCCTGCTGTGTAGAGTGCAGATGGCGAACCTGTCCACTTTCCTCACCACCTCCTTCCACACCCAGCTCAGCTTCATGGACGCTGACCCTGATGAGAACCTTTTGGATGAGGAGGATGATGATGATGATGATGATGATGAAGATGAAGACAATGAAGAGACAGAACATGTTTTTTCCCCCTCTGGTAGTCCTCTTCACTCTCTATTAATACAAACTGATGTAATGCCTGTTTAAATTCCTGTGCACAAAAAGTGCTTTTTTGAAGGTTTGTGGTGATTTTATTGTTGTTGTTGTTTAGAAGATTCAAAAGGCATAGAAGATTCAAAAGATGTGCTTGATGAGTACCTTACACAGCTCCTGCAGAGTACAGCCACAAAGTCACATCTCCCTCCCATTCAGAGGGGACAGCACCATGTTTTCAGTGCTGAACACACCACCAGGGACATCCTGACTCTTATGGCTCAGGTTCAGGGCCTCAACATGCCTAGTAAGCCCAGAAGACTCTAAATTATCCATTCCTGTTTATTTCCCTAGATTCCTTTCGGCATGCCTTACATATTTGATCTGTTTTGTATCCCCTTGATCATTCTGTGATTTGATGATGAGTTTTGTAGCCTCAAAATGAAAAGTATTCCTAGTGGGGTTCTCCTTTAATTAGGAAGGAGAGATGTTATTGAACAGACCACAGCAACAAGACAGAGCATGTATTAAGTATTTTGGAATGCACATGTACGGTACTGTGCAAAAAACAGAGACCGTTCTTCATTTATTTAATGTCCAGTTAAAACTACCGTTAAGTACAATTTATTCATTTTTCAGCACCAGAAACATGCTTTTTTACATTTCCATTGCTTGCTTCCAGTTTTCAAGATATATTCAGGTATATTGCAGATAAATCTATTGTTCTAAGAACACAAGCAGCTTTTTTTGATTTGCAGATTTTCTTCTTTTTTGTCTTTTTACTTTTCTCGGTAACTGCTTCTTGAGAATTACACATCCTCTTAGACCCATAGCGTTTTCTTCCTGCAGTGGAATGGCACAGAGACAATTTTTTTTTGTTTGTCTTAAGCAAGAATGAAACTTGATTTTCTCTAAAAGTTGAAGCTGTGTGTCTGAATGGTGACAGTGTTGGTGGTCTACCAGGTATGTTGTTAGGAGTCCCAGTTTCTCTATATATTTTTATAATTTTTGAAACAGTTTTGGAAATCCCTGGTTTTTCTCTTATTTTCTTTTAACTTTTCTCTTCTTTATGCAAGTAGATTACCCTACATCCAGTTTCCTTAGAAATATCTGCTTACACAGAAGCCAGAACCACTAAATATAATATAAAAATTTTCAGCATTAAGTGTGTCCACCCTTTGCCTTTATTATAGCTGCTATTCTTTTTTGGAAGACTTGGATTCAGTTTCAGTTTTTGTAGCTGGTTGCATTTTCTGATTCTCACAATCCAAGTAATCCCAAATGTATTCACTGAATTTTAAGACAGGACCCTGGGGTTCCCACTCCATTGTTTTAAGAACACCTACAGCTTCTTTTTGTGATTACCAAATGTTCTACTTTGCTTTTCTCAGTAACGGCTTTTTGGCAGCTACACATCCTTTCAAATCCATAGGGTGAGTCTTCACACAGGAAGAATGGACGAAACATTTGTGTGGTTTTTCAGATATGAAACGAGATGAGCTTTATTATTTCCTTGTAATGTCAGAGGCATGCAAATCGGTTGCAAGTGTGAAGTGGCTTGATTTGGGGCAATCCAATAATCATTGTCTAAGCAGGCAGGGGTCAAAACTCAAGCAGATAAAATAAGAGGAATATCCATAGTCAAAATTCAGTTAGACAAGCAGGGGTCAAAAAACACCAAAGACCAACACAAACTAAAAAGGCTTAGTACTCAGGCTGAGACTGCAAACGAACAAGGAAAGCAAAGAGGTATAGATGTGAGTTTAAATGAGTCAGGGATGAGCTGCAGGTGTGAGAAATTGAGTAAGTGGAGCCAGGGTGTAGCAGGAAAAGAAAAAAAAAGCATGTGGCCTAGCGGTGTGCAGTACTGTTTATCTGATGGTGACAGTTTTAGCGGTCCACGAGGGCTGCGTTTAGCCCCAACAAAACATAGCAAAATGTCTGTTTTATTTGAACAGAAATGGTGGTGCGTTAAACACTCTTAACTATGACAGCTGAAAGGTCGGTCTTGGTGTGCTTGTTCTATAGCTTGTTCTATATATATATATATATATATATATATATATATATATATATATAAATAATAATAATAAACTTTACAATACTTACGACAAACGTCTTCTAATGTCTTTAATTGTTGCGAACACCAAGCTGTAGTGGCTGTATTTGTAGAGGACTTTTGTAGAATCCATTGTTTGCACTGCCTTATTAATAAGGTGGGGTTTATGTACACATTGCTGCTGATTGAGTAACACCTCTGACACCCTTCAAATGAGAGAAAACATACCTCAAAGGTTTTGAAATTGAACGTGTCCCAGGTCTTGCGTGCTTGTTAGGAGTCCCATTTTCTTACTATCTTTTTATAAATTTTTTTAACAGTTTTGAAAACTCGTTTTTTTTTTTCACTTTTGCCTTTAACCTTCTTTTATGCAAGTGGATTATCATAAATCTAATCTCCTCAGAAATATATGTTAAAAAATGAATAGCTTGTACTTGATGGCCATTTTGACTGGAAATTAAATAAATAAAGGGTGGTCTATGACTTTTGCACAGTACTGTATGGTTTATTTTCAGAATTATTGTTGTTGACTCCAAAGCTATCGGACATATCTCCTTTCCTTCTTGCCCCTTGTTGTCTCTCAGAGCCATCTATGTACTTACCTGTGACTCCCATCATGAACAAGCACAGGAAGTCCCTGAACCTGCTGGAGGTCCCACACCCTCAACACCAAGGTCCTCACCAACACAAGGCAAGTCTCAAGCCGATACTTGACCTCAGTGTTGGGCTCAGTTTGGGGAGGGTGTCATTACTCCAAATTTTCTTCACGCTGGAGAATTTCTTCATCACTATGTCACTTACCAACACTCACATTGTGATGAACAACAATTATTGCTGGGTCTGTGGCATGTCTAATGCAAAAAACACCCATGCAGGTCATGAAGTGCATTTTGTGCAATGATCTCATCACTGCATTTGATAAAACATGGTTACAGGTAATAAGTGCATTATGCATTTGCTGAAGAAGTAAAGCGTGTAATTATTTCATGTAGCAGTTTGCATCTGTAGAAACAAATTGTTATTGGAACCATTCTGTATAAATAAAGAAGATTTTTAAGAAAATTTTGAAACAGGAAATAATATGACTGGGAGTGGATAGCTTTCACATTTGGTGTGGTCAGCACATGAGCAACCAGTTTTATGTACTGTTTTGGCTTTGAAAACAACTTTCACACTTCACCAAATGTATTAAACTTTTGGTGCAAATGGCCTTGAGTCTGAAAAAAAAAAAACTCAAGCATGAAAATTACAAAATTGGCTTGTCCCAATTATTCCATAATTGCCTAATTTCAGTTCTATAAGCTAACCATAGTAATTTTACACAATTGTTAGTTTACACAGTCATACGTTTACATCACAACAATTAGCATGTGAATGCATTTTCATCAGTTGGGTTGAGGACAAATGACATGAATTAAAAAAAGCAGAAAGTGTGTTTATTGAGACACGTCATGGATCTTACAACAAAAATGGATCTTACCAACAAAATAATTAAGACAGACGTTCCATATCAGAGTACGATCTTGGACTTTTATTTGTTTTTGTGTGCAAATGCATCACTAGACTTCTAGTGTTGACCTTCACTTGCCCCGTGATGCGCATGGAAACACAGACTTCGCTGCTCTGGTCAGTCAGCTGAAGGAATGCCCAACATTACAGGACCAAGCTGACATCCTCTATATTCTCTATGCAATGAAGTAGGCATTCACACATATTTATATAAATTACTTAAAATTATTGAAACATTTTAATCATTTATTATTATGATTTGGTGCTGACAATGTTTTTTAAATGATTTTCTCTCTCGTTTGTTTGGTATTTGTGGTGACTAGGGGTGCAGACTGGGTAGTGAGTATATCTGAGCAGTGTGGAGCCACAGTGCGCTCTTTGCTAGGAGAGCTCTACATTAAGGCCGGAGCGAGTCAAGAATGGGGACTCATTCGTTACATCTCAGGCATTCTGAAGAAGAGGGTAGAGGTCTTGGCTGAGGTAAGAAAAGACTTGTCAAGCTTTTTAAAGAAATACTTCAACATCTGTATGCTGCTTTTGCATTTGTGTAGTTGATTGCTATAGACAGTTATTTTGTCATGCGTCTCTGTACTTCAGCACCTGTCCACTGGCTTCTATTGTGTTTAATGTTAAAGTTTTTTCTTTTTTGTGAACCTTTTTTTTTAATACTGGACAACCCATACTTGAGACTTGATATTTGTTTGGAATGAAATCTTGAAAGTGGTGTCCAGGGTGCCCTTAGATAGAGCTTAAAATTAAACAGCTGGTGATTGGGAGTTTCTGATGCCTTATAAATGTTAAATGTAGAGATGAAACGATATTAAAATTTCATATCACGATTATCATGACCAAAATTATCACGATTATCGGTATTATCGCGATATTGTTCAAACGTTTTGAAAAGTAAAATAAATACTGATACACAAACTGAAACTCGTTTCACCAACTTTTATATTAACACAAATAGAATTGGCAGCAATATGCACTTTTTGTTTGCATAAACATTAAAAAATAAGGTCAATACATTTTTAGTATTACTTTTGTATTACTTACAATACTTGTAATATTCTGTAAACAAAAGAATAGCAAATGTATTATTATTTCAGTTATTATTATTATTATTATTATTATTACTGTTATTCTTCTTCTTCTTCTTCTTATTATTATTATTATTAATTACAATAACTAGGGATTTCCCTGCATAGAGAATTAAATCTCGACCAACTCTGAGGTGGGTCTTAATGGAAAATTACTACTTCTAAGAAGTGTTGCACTCGGGGGATTTCTGTCCGAACTGCAACTGCAGCATTATTATGCCGTTGTGGCGCTGAACCCCTAATCAATACAGTGCACCAGGAAAAACAGCCAAAATCACAGAGGAATTGCATGACCACCTTCACCTGTGGAGCTGCTTCTCTAAAAGCATTTTAAAACTAAAACATAACTGAAAATTAACGCACATCTGAGCTGCGGCAGAAACACTCCTGAAGTTTAATCTCTGAAACTCTGCTTTTCCTAAAAGCAGCACACAGCGTTTACTCGCGCGAGGTCCCGTCTCAAAGCACACTATCTTCCCTATGTAGTGCACTTCGTGGATCATGAAATAGCAAATCCTTCACCCAAAGAGTGCGTGAAACGTTCGACTAAGTCATCTATCATCAACATTAACAACAGGTTACAAATCCCCTATTTAAAACTCTAACTGCTTGTTAATGATGATCTTGTTTGTTTGAACAGTAGCACACTATGTAGGAGACACTGAGTGATTTGAGACGGTGTTATTCTCAGACAGTAAACACTGCAAGCGAGACGAGAAAGGGGAGCTGTGCAGATTGAACCTCTGCAGCGTCTCGTTCCAGAGCTCGTGTGACTGTTAACTCAGAGCTCATTTTGACTCTGGACTCATTTGGACTCTGCTCCACAGAAATGTGTTAAAAGCTTTAGTTTCGATTCACAGTTGATTCACCGATTGTTTTTCTTTTTTTTGATGCTAAAAGCTTCATTTTATATGATTAACGAACCATAAGCATAGGTTAAACCACACAAACCGTGACATTTCTTCTATTTCGAAGTCCCCACAGACTTCTACGTTAAAGTTAACCTTGCATTCTCTAAAAAGTAGCGGGTGGTGGTCGCGAAATAACTCGTAAAGTTTGATGTGTTGCCCCCTTTCGCCGCTATTTTCTTTCGGCATGTTCTGCAGACAGGGTGGTCATCTTCAATTAACTTTCCTTCTGCATCCTTATAAAACCCAAAATATGACCAAACGTCAGACTTGGTCTTCTTAGAAGGCTGAAATATCTCCGAATCTCCGAGTTAACGATACTTTAAAGTTCAAACGGCACTACTAACCGTCATTAATTTTACCACGGTTTACCGTGAAACCAGTAACCGTTTCATCTCTAGTTAAATGTTAAAGTCACCTCCCAGTTTGCTGCTTAAATTACCAAATCCTTTTCTCATTGATTTTGTGTACTAAGTCCAGAACAATATATTTTTGCAACCAAGAGTATGTGTATGAAACAAAACCTTTGGCAGGGCTATTTAGGCTCAATCCCATTTCTTTCTTTTTACCCCTACCCCTTGTTTTTGAGCGTCACCTTAACCCTTTGGAACTGAGTTACAAGAGGTAGTGGTTGAAATCTTGCCATACGAAATGGGACAACAATAAAATTAAAAAAAAAAATAATAAAAAACATTGCTTCACTAACAGGCTATTAGCTGCTCTGTAGGTGACCCGGCCCGTCTTCAGTGATGGCAGAAAAGGGTAAAGTTCAGTAACCTCACTGCTGGGCTTTAGTTACATTTAGGGCATCATATGCCTTCAAAGAGGGGGTATAAGACAATTATTTATTAGCGCCCACCGCTAATTCTTTGGTGATACGAAGCTGAAGTCAGCTATTCACCAGCTTCTTGTTCGAAGTTTCCAGTTCCACCTTATTAAATGGTGCAGTAGTTAGAGTCTGGCGCTTCAGGCATCAATACTGCTGGACTATTTAAGGTGGAACGGGAAAGTTAGCTAGCTAGCTACCGAGACATTAGCGTGCTATTAGCGATTTTTTATGTTGAAAAGACATTAAACTAAGATAATACAATGGTTATCGTAATTTTTAACAAAGAAAATACTTACATTTGTGGGTTTCTTTGGTCGCTTGCGCAGCCATCTTGCCGTTTATATTTTCTCATAACACTCAGTTTGGAGTGAGCCTCTGAAAAACCTCTGTTTGGAGGGCCGTGTAGCCCTAACACTTCGCCCTACCCCTCCATCTCAACAAAAATTGGGACACCCTAACCCTAGACATGAACGCGCAAAACACAGGGCTAAGGGCTAAGTGGTAGGGGCGAGGGGGGAAATGGGATTGAGCTTTAGTATCTGTTACATAACTGGATGAGTTTTCAATCCTGATCCACAAGGAACCCCATATGCTTAAAGTGCAGCCTGTAACCTCAAATAAAGAAAAAATGATGTTCCTATATCAAACAAAAGACAAAGGTCTTGAAAACTACAGACCCCTTGTAAATTTGCCGAGAGCATTAATACCCTTCAATGCCCATTGTTTAGATTCAAAGGGTTTGTTACTTGACTTGATATCTCTGTTATGCCACAGAGGTGCATGAACATGCCCTTTGAGGTTGCACCTAATTTGTTTTTCAGTCGTTCTGAAATTGGCTATTGTGTGAGCTATAAAGGGGCCAAAATGAAGCGCACATTTACTGTTTGAAATATTAGAAAACAGTGAATCTGGAAGTCTACTGGGATGAATCAGTACTTCCTCCAAATTCCAAGAGACAGCTGGTGAAGGGTTCCATGTTGTTAATGGACATAACTGGAAAGACTGGTGGTAAAGTCTGTGGCAGTGTGGCAGGGACAGTCTCCCTTTGTGTTGGGAAACTGCAGAGAAATAAACCATATCCATGGTGTTTACCATTCCAAATATATTTGCTCAGCAAATATACCTTGTTCCAATAACCGAATGGTGGTGGTAATGGAATCATCATACTGACAAAGTCAATACGAGTTACGATATATGTGTTAGTGGAATTTCTGTTATTTTATAGTACAGTTGAAGATACAGTAAAAGTTACTGTTTATGGTAATTGTCTATATGCTGTAGATAAAGCAAACAGAAGTTGAAAACCGGTGGAGTGTCCCTTTAAGGGCCAGTCCACTGTTCTTAGCTCCTTGCATGTGAAACTGCCATTCATTTGTTAAAAGTGATATGAAAATCAGTATGTGTTTCGTCTTTAGGCTTGCACTGATCTGATCTCCCATCATAAGCAGCTGACAGTGGGTCTTCCTCCAGAGCCTAGAGAGAAAGTCATTACAGCGTGAGTGTGCCCCTCTCTTCTGATCCAAGACTTACTTGCCACTATGTGGAAAAATAAAACTTATATGGGATGTCATCTAGTCTTCTGCTTCTTTCTTCATTATTTATATCATTTTTTCTTCCATTATTTATTTTTTAGTCCTCTCCCACCTGAAGAGCTGAATAATTTGATATATGAGGCCAGTGGCCAGGATATTAGCATTGCTGTACTTACACAGGTAAAGCTAAGACATTGAAATGATCACTAAATTGAATATATGCTGACATTAATACTATTAGTATCTTAGTTTCTCTCTGTTTCACAAAACCCAGTTCCTTTATAAAATAGATGAGTGTTTACCTCATGGTTGTTATGCCTTTACTTATCATAGGAGATCATGGTGTATCTGGCCATGTATGTGCGTTCTCAGCCGGCACTGTTTGGAGACATGTTGCGTCTGCGAATAGGCCTCATTATGCAGGTGATGGCTACCGAACTGGCCCGAAGTCTACACTGCTCAGGTAAGGATGGCTAGTCCTGTGATATTGCTGACAAGCTGTTGGTCTCCTTTTTCCTCTGCCTCTGTGAAATACTTGCCCTCTGTTATTTTCCTGATCAGGTGAGGAGGCATCAGAGGGGCTGATGAACCTCAGTCCGTCTGACATGAAGAATCTACTGCATCATATTCTAAGTGGGAAAGAGTTTGGAGTGGAAAAGAGCAGTAAGTCTGATTGCCTAAAACACACAGTCTGTCAGGCTTTTATTCCCTTCAATCAGTCAATTAAAAGTGACAGAAAGGAAACTTTGCTGTCTTTATTATGTATCTCTAAAATGCAGCACTGAAATAACTAATATTTTTATTATGTAAGTAAGTTTACTTACTTTAATAAGTAAAATCCTTTAAAATCTAGTCATTAGATTTAATATTTTTATCGTAAGATTTTTAACTATTAAAGGTCCTATATCCTACTTTATTCTTGCACTTCATTTTTTTTTTGAGTGGGATGATTAGAAACTTTAGCACTGTTTATGTACTACACCACATTCTTTCATTTTGATAAAATAAGGAAAATTTAGTTTTCCACAAAATGGGGCCTTTGGAACTGAAGAGATCGTTTATTCACTCTAGTCCTTGGCATTTTACTTGTTTAAAATAATTTTATACAATGAAATTAACTTTTTTCCATTTGCAGACTATTCTGGTTGTCTAAGCAAAACTACCAGATAAAAACTAAATAAAAGTATTTTACACTGGTAAAAACATGATAGAAATAGATTAAATAATGTTCTTACAAAACCTCATAATATTAGATGTATTTGCTGGATTTAAGATGATTTCTCTTGTTAATATATCATTGTTGCAGGAAGTGAACATTCTCTTTTCTGGTATCTCATACTTAACCTCTCTGTGTTGTGTGTAAGTGCGGCCACTTGAGTCCACAGCTACCAGCCCAGCTATCTCCATCCATGAGCTTGGACATACAGGGGCTACCAAAACAGAACGTACAGGCATCAGGAAACTGAAGAGTGAAATCAAACAGGTGAGAGTCAGTTATCTTTTTAAGGAAGTGCACAATACAATTAAATTTTAAACGCAAATTAAACTCAAATTTCAATTTGATCATTTTTTGTGTTTCTATGCTGTAAATGACCATAGACTTTGTTTTGCTTCCAGCTTGACGACTCCAGACCAATAAGCGTGGGTTGAGTTTGTAAAAGAGATAAATTATGGGCATGTGTGTTTAGATACCATAGAGCTTACATACATACTTAATCAGCTTGTTCATTCATGTCTTAAGTATTATGGCGATCAAATACACCAGAGATTTCATATTCCAGTCCTGGAGGGTCTCTGCGTGGTTTAGTTTCCCTATTTCAAAAAACCCTATTCAATTATCAAGTCTTGTCAACTCAAATCAGGGAAACTCCAACCTGTGCAGTATTGTGGCCAACCAGGATTTGAGTGTGAAAACCTTGGTATGAACCATGCTGAATGCCTATTCTTTAACATTTACTACCCATTTCAGTTCATGTACATGGTGACTGTTTTCACCCAGCTTTTTGAATGTTTTGCAGTGTGATTTGCTCATCCAAAACCTCCCCCCTTCCTGCTGAACATTTGACCTCCTTGTAATTCAGAACCCCTGTGTTTAAAGCAACCCTGCCCTACTTTTCTTACATTTGATTTGAAATACACTAATGTGGATGGTCAAGTCCAGTTCAGAATGATCCCGAAGAAGCACTCACATTCCAACAGCATTTATTCATCATCCCTTTTGTCCTTTTCTGTCCGTACATTCTGCTTTCTCTCATAGATCTTTACTGGCAGTCATTCCATCAGCAGCAATGTCACATCCCCCCGCTCCACGGTAATCCTGTTACCCATGCCTTTCTCCTCATGCCTCATTCTTATTACATCCATGACAACTTGGTGACATGACTTGCAAAGTGCTACATTCTTGGGTGGTCATACTTATATGTGGATGCATAAGATAAACTTGTTACAGTGATGTTCTTCCACTCACGACAAACATCAACTTGCTGCATCATAATTTGTGTTCTCTGTTTCTGCCTACTTAATATAATATTTGCATGGAGTTTGATGTTAGCAGACTAATCCTTGTTTTATATGCCAGCAGTCCACAAACAGTGGGATGACAAATTAATGGAAACATTAGATAACATGGATATATTAGCTATTATATTTGTGCTTATTGTATTAGCTTATGTATTTTTTCCTTTTAACATTGGTGTTGTTTTTTAGACCTGCACTAGACTGGCAAACAGCACATTATCTTACGTTATTCATATTAAAATGAGAAATTACATTTTGAAATTGAGCTTTATTCACTCAACGTAGGACTACTTTTTGATTAGCTGTTTCCATTATTTTGTCTTCCTGTTGAATTAACAATCACATATAAGTACTAATTTTATTTTGTGTTTCTGTTTCTGCTTGTCTATACACAGAGGTGCAGCAGCCCTTCCACCCCCAGTGGCATCCTCTCTCCAACAGGTACAGGTGACTCACGGCTACAGTGGGAGGAGAGGCAGGGTCAGTGGCTGAGGAGACGCAGACTGGATGGGGCCATCAACAGAGTGCCCATGGGCTTCTACCAAAAGGTCTGGAAGATTCTGCAGAAGTGCCATGGCCTGTCTATTGCTGGATATGTACTGCCCTCCTCTACTACTCGAGAGGTACAGGAACTGCACCCTCATTCTTACATTCTTTCAAAAGCACTAAAGGTTTCATGCCTATGTGCATTTCTACGTTATTACAGATGACAGAAGGGGAGATTAAGTTTGCTGTCCATGTGGAGTCTGTACTGAACCATGTTCCTCAGCCGGAGTACAGACAGCTGTTGGTGGAGGCCGTCATGGTGCTTACCCTGGTGGCTGATATGGAGATATCCAGCATTGGAGGAATCATTCAAATCGACCGTATAGTTCACATGGCAAATGATCTTTTTCTGCAGGATCAGGTGCACCTTATAGATCTTTCAGTAAAGATACTAAAAGTGATCAAGTTTCTGCCTCAGTTATACTCAGTTTTTCAACCTAATCTCTATCTGCATCACTGAATCTGTAGTGCATGGTCATTTTCCACAGACAATAATTCCAATTTGTTTCTCCATGCTTAGAAAAGAATCGGAAATTCTTTTACTCTAAACCATTATAATACAATTAAAATTTTTATTCATGGGAATCACCAGAGTCCTGATAAGTGAATTCGCAGTCAACAGATTTTGAGTTTCTCTGTAAGGAAGCAGGTCAAAATTGGAGTCCAAGCTAATCGACCATGCACTACAGATTGTCAGATCGAGTTTACATTGAAAAATCTTGGAAATTTACTTCAGTATTTAGAAATGCTGTACATATTAATTTCATTGGAAGCTTATATGCCAAGTAATTCATCCCCCATTGGGTTGCAGAAGTCCAGTGGGGCCAATGAGTTTTTCCTGGAGAAGGACCCAGCAACAGGAATTTGCAACTTCTTCTATGATAGTGCTCCCAGTGGCAGCTATGGCACTATGACCTATCTATCAAAGGCCGTGATTACATATGTTCAGGACTTCCTCCCTAACACCAGCTGTCTGATGCAGTAAGGAAAGCAGCTCAAGGAATGTGATGGCTTTACCACTGACCATGGACCCGTTTCGTTAATGGTAGCCTCAACTTCCACACAGTTATGCTGCACAGTAAACCTGGTGTCCTGTCAGCTGCAGAGGGCAGACTGTACCAACAGCAAGGATGTGGTTTGAACTCTGAATATTCCAAATTACAAAGAAAGTGAATCACTGGATTTGGACCACTGTATAACACATACTGGTAACTGCTAACTGATTTTACTAAATAGCATGTGAGATTCTATTATAGAAATTATATTATATTTATTTTAGATGGTCTGCCTAAGTGAATTAATCTGTTATTTTAATATTTAATAATTTATAATTTTATTCAAATAATTCTAAGTTTGTCCAAATAATCATAATATATTATCAAATATATGCAGAATGTTTAGCTACTAATAACAAAGATAATATTAGGAAAAAAATATATCCCATTATTTCCATACTCTTTTGTGGGCTTATTATGAATGTAGGTAATTTTTGTTTTAGCTCAATGAAACACTGTAAATGTAAAACTGAATCATAAGTTTGCTTTGTGTGAGCCTGTTACTTTGTGAAGTAATACACCAACGGTAATAGTATGAATGGTACAAAATGTTTTAAATACACACTGTAGTTGAAGCATGTTTACAGACAAATCTAAAACCAGCTATGAACATGTACTGTAACACACTTACTTTGAGCATTTCTTAAATATTAAGAGATTTTGAGGGGAACAAAACAAATGTATGTGGAACAATATGTTTTTTTTTTTCTCCAGCAGACAACATGAACATCCTAGCTCTAAATCTGTAGGGCAGGAAGGGAAACAGTTTGTTGTTTTTCATTTTTATTTTACATTTATCTACATTATACTTGAACTTTCTGAGAGAGTGGTGGTGCTCTAACCAGTGCCTGCAGGGCCTGCGTGGAGAAGCAGCATCAGGGTGAGAGCACTGATCTATGATCAGTTTTCCTCTTGGCTAGAAAACAAAACAGCTCCTTCTCTGAAAATAGCACTCCTACTGTGAAATGCTTTAAAAACAATGCCACAGTTCTGGGAATAGACAATGCTGCAATACTTCAATTTCTTTTGGTACTTTCGGTTCTTTGATCTAATCTAGTAATATTTAACTACATTAAACTGATAGTGTTCAAGGTTCTTCAAAAACCTGACTTTGTTTATCCTTATGTTTTTTGTGAGTCAGTGGCTTAATAAATCAAGCATGTTTGGCAGTAGCAGAAAATAGTTTCTTCTCTTTAACAGTTGTAAAATGTTGCCTTTGATGGCTGGTACTGCTCTGCACCCATCAGAGCTCATTAAAGGGTCTTGACATTAGGGCCTGACGAGTATATTGATTGGCTGATAATATTTACATTTACTTTTACATTTATGCTACTCAGACACTACCAGAAAAAAGGCAGTGCTGATACCTACAAAGAAAGATACAGTATTAAACATAGCATAAGAGCAATACAATACATTTCAATAAGTACTTAGATTTGTGCTCATTTAAGTGCTGTACAAAAACTGGATCCTTAGTCAACGTTTGAAGACCATGAGAAAGTCTGCTGTTCGGACAGCCAGTGGAAAACCAGTGAAGGGAACGCAGCAGTGGAGTGACATGAGTGAACTTGGAAAGATTGAAGATGAGCTGTGTTGCTGCATTCTGGATCAGTTCCAAGGGCCTGTTGACCCGCATAGGAAAACCAGCCAAGAGCGAGTTGCAGTATTCAAGCCTTGAGATGACAAGAGACTGAACTAGCACCTGGGTGGCCTTTGAAGGGAGAAAGGGTCAAATTCTGCAGATGTTGTAGAGGAGAAACCTGCATGACTGAGTTAGGTTTGCAAAATGAGCTGACAATGATAACTGGTCATCCAGAATCACTTTAACTGGTCATCATCTTTAGACGGAATGACCAAAGAGTTCTCGAATGAAAGCGAGATCATGGTGAGGACTTGTAGTTCCAGGGATGAATAGCAGCTCAGTCTTGCTAGGATTGAGCTTCAGGTGATGAGCTGCCATCCATGAAGAGACGTTAGTCAGACATGCTGAGATGCGACTGGAAACCTGGAGTATCGGAAGGTGGGAAGGACAGCATTAGTTGGGTGTTGTCAGCACAGCAGTGGTAAGAGAAGCCATGAGAGGATATTGCATCACCAAGAGAAAGAGTGTAGAGTGAAAAGAGAAGGTGACCCAGCACTGAGCCTTGTGGAATACCGGTAGAGGGCCTGCATGGAGAGGATGTGGATCCTCTCTATGTTACCTGATAAGAGCGCCCCTCCAGATAGGACTCAAACCACTTCCATTCTGAGTCAGAGATTCAAGGTTGGTGAGTAAAGACAGGAGAATCTTGTGGTTGACTGTGTCGTAGGCTGCAGAGAGGTCATGAAGAGTCAGAACCAATGATAGATTGGCTAATCTTCCTGCCTGGAGCTTTTCAGTCACTGCATGGTGGGCAGTTTGTGTTGAAAGTGCCGGTTTGAAGCCAGACTGGCTGGGGTCCTGGAGCTGGTTCTGAGTGAGAAAGAGAGACAGTTGACTATAGACTGCACATTCAAGAGTTTTTGAGAATAAAGAAACCGATCTGTAGCTACTGACATTGGAGCTGTCAAGCATGGGCTTCCTCAGGATGGGAACCACCCTGGCAGTCTTAAATGTCGATGGAACATGACCTGATGACAAGGAGCTGTTTATGATGAAACTTATGATGGGAGGATGGGGCAGAATAAAGCGAGCAGGTGGTTGGATTGCTGGATTTAAGTAGCTGTAGGTCATCGTCTGTGGAAAGAGAAGAAAACAGATTAGGGAATTAAGAGCAAGAGGACGAGGACGTAAGAAGGGAGAGGAGACTGGCAGATTCTAATAACCTTCTCCTCAGAGGTAAGAGAAGAGGGTGGTGGGGGAGAAGGAGGGTAAGGACAGAGGAGAAAATGCTGAAGAGCTTGCATGGATCAGATGCTGATGCTTCCAGTTTCCCACTGTAAAAAAATGCCTTTACAACAGTTACTTCAAGTGAGAACTTAGAAAGGAGAGAGGAGAGGAGCAAAGATCTGAGTCAAGCGGGGATTTCATCCATCTTCTCTGAGCCTTTCTTAGTTCTTGCCGGTTGCTGAGCAGGACACCTATCAGCCATGCGGAAGTTGGGGACGATCTTGCTGGCCTGGCAAAGAGAGGACATGGAAGGTTAATTGCAGATGAGAGTGAAGAAGGTAAAGTATCTGCAGCTCTATTCTGGGAGAGAGAGTTGAAAATGAGTCAGGGTGGGGAAGGGTAGTTGGGACAGTTGAAGCTGACATGGACAGGACAGTGGAGGGGAAAGTGTAAAAGATAGATAGTGATGATCTGAGCAGCGATGGGGAGGTACTGTAATATCCAGCGCAGGGGTAGGTCTGCTAAGGATCAGGTCCAGAACATTGCCTTCTCTGTGCTTTGGAGGAGACTCGTTGAAGATGAAGTCAAAGGATGATGGCAGTGGTAAGAGGCAGGATGACTGAATGTTGTCAGATGGTTGGTTAAAGTGACCAAGGAGAATGAGTGGGGTTCCATCAATGGGGAAGAGACTCAGAAGAATATCTAACTCATCTATAAAGTTGCCTAGAAGACAAGGAGGGTGATAAATGATATGAAGTTTAGTGAGGAAAGAAACAGTGACAGCAGTGACAACGGCATAATATCTATCAGTATTGACCTGTGGTTATATCAGTATCCATGAAAATATTTCACAAAATATAATCAATATATTGAGCACAATTTTTTGGTTGCAGCATTGCTGGGATTCAAACTCACAATCTCCTGACAATAAGGTAAAATCTTAGATTGAGTTACCCCTGTCTAAATATCACCAATACAGGTTAAATTGGTAAATCTAAACAAAAAACAGTATCAAGGTTAAAATTAGGAAAACATGTAAAATGTAAGAAAAATAAAAAAGACTTATTAGAAAAATAAAAGACTTATGGGTAGCTCCACCCCCCAGTACAACAATATTTATACTACTTAAGTGTGAGTTTGTGCTGTTTATTTGAGTTTAAGAAATGTGACAGTTGACAATCATAATCTGTCAGTTAATCACTGTTTAACTAATACGATTGGAGTATAAAATTAAAATAAAAGAATAAAATTATACCTTCCCTTTAGTTATTTAAACTTTTAGCCCATTAAAATCGGTATTTTGTCAGCTACAAAATTTTCATATTGGTCAGGCCTTGTTTGAGATGCACTTTGGACAGCTGGTTTGCAAAACAATAGGCAGGAACCTCTTGTTTCCCCTCCAGACTCAAAAGCCCAAGTAGAACTTAGCATTCTGTCCCCTCTTTGCAGGTGTCACCCCTTCAGTTGCTGTGAGTTCTAACAAAATAAGTAAAATAAGCTGTTTTTATATTTCAAATGACTAAGTTCATCTTATTTTCATTTATTTGATACTGTGTCAATAAAACTGAATTCTTACTTGTTATCTTGTATTTGTCATTTTAGCATGCTGAGTGAATTAAAATGCCCATCATTGTAATTTTTTGTGATTTTTTTCACCAGTTTGCATTTTTTGCTTGCAGTTTGTGTTTTATTATATACATGTCAAGACATTTAATTCACCTCTTTTTTAAAGGTCTATACTGGCCTAACTGTAGTGAAATCTAAGTAGACTAATGGCAAGTACGCAGATGGCATCCCCATATTGTGCGTTTTCAAGGCGGTGCTCCTGGTCCCAAGGGCTTTAGCATAATGAGATGATAATATCCCATCCTCACTAGCTTGTGCTAAACTGTGGCCCAGAGCCATAATGGAACATTGTTTCATTTTAGACTCCTGCCAGGTGGCTGGGAGATGGAAGCTCTATAGCAGTGGAGCGGTGGAAGTACAATATTTGTACATTATTTTCCTTTCAGTGTTTGTGTTAAAACAATGCTCATCTTGTGTTTGCTTGTGCTTTTCCATGTATCTCAAAAATGGTAACTTTACGGAAGAAGGCAAAAGGTAATATATAAAGGTATTTTGTTTAATTATGAAGCATTTCTATTGGTCCATTCATCAAGAATTTTTCGCACAATGTAGAAAACATGCTGAGTTCAAATGATGTAGAAAAATGTAAAAAAAAAAAAGATTTTTGTTTTTGTCTGTTATCTAACCTTTCAGTAATATTAATGTAAAATATGTTCTTATGATTAAGCTTAATTTACTTTTTTAATGTACTGTTAATCTGTTCATTTAATTTGTCAAGATAGTTATATTTAATTTTATTTCATTTTTTTTCTGTATTTGACTCACATAATTACGCTATATTTTGTTCTAAAATATGTTCAGTTCTGGGACACTGAAGGCATAGGGCTGGTTTTCCAGACCAAGATTAATCCTAAACCTACACTAGTAATTCACCACTGTGATGCATTCACATACATTCACCACTTCACAGTTTAGTCCAAAGCACACTCAGGAGAATCCAGCTCCATTCCACTGATTCCTTAACTCCAGGTTTTCTATCTGAGCAGCCATAAACCTCCTGTCTCTCTGTGGGCAGGTAGCTGTCCTGTGATTTGTTTTCTGACTCAGCCTTTAGGAAAGCAGGCACAGCATCAGCTTCGAGAGCTGTTCAAAGTCCTCCAGGACATCAAATACGCGCGCATGCACAGAATGAATAATTAACATCACAATACACACACTCTGCGAATCGCATCCACACTGCTGGATTCAGTTCTCTCTTCTTCTCCATTGGAGGTGCTTCACCGGTCTGGGAGTGGCTGCCTGCTTTGTGTGAGTGGAGGGGGAGCCCTCTGGTGCAGGAGTGAGCTGACAGGAGAGGAGAGGAGTGTGAGAGGAGAGAGGCTGCCCCTGAGATGCTCTGCTGGCTGGAAGAGGAAGAGATGTCTATACAGGAGCTCCAGGAACGGGTGGGCTGTGTTATCACCCATGTCGGTGAGTGCTCACATCCTATGGTCTTTTGGTTGAGGGTGGAGGATGGGGTTTCTGGGTTTGGGACGTGGGGCTGAAGGGGGGTGTGGCAGGCAAAGGGCTTAGCATGGCTTCTGAGACAGAGAACCAGGCAAAAGCCGCAAATGAGGCTTGTGCTCTGCTTAAATATGGATTATAAAGTGAAATCCTAGATTTCAGCTTGCCTACCTTGGATTGCTCTATGCATGCTTTAATATTTTTGCACTTCTATTGTAATTTAGCTAAAAAATCTATGTGAAAACATATAAATGTTGCTTTAATAGGCACTGCTATTGTGATGTAGCGAAATTT